AGCTGCAGGCACAGGACTCTGGTGTGTACTGGTGTGCACTCTACAACTCCTTTCAACGCCTTGCATTCACCCGGATAATGGAGGTCAGGCTCTCTGTGGACAAGAGTGAGTACCTGCTGGCAGATTTTGACCTCACCTCCGCTCAGTCTCCCTTTTCCCCTGTGCCCACCAAGAAGGAGCCCAGTGCCATCCACGTGCAGCACAGACCCACATCACTCCCTGCAGAGTCAACACTGGGGTTCCCAAAACCACTGAGAACTACTGACCTGTATGAAAACATGGCTGGTTGTAGATTCCAGATTCACTTTCTTACTCTCCCCTCTACTTTCTGTGCTGTCCAAATTAGCGCATCTTCCAGCAGGGTACATTAGGATGATTTTCTATGTCCAAGCCCTACATGATTTTACTTTCTCACAGACATTTTGTTATGGAACAGCAGCAGGAATCTGACCTTGCACACAGATGTACTCTGTTGCTTCTCTCTTATTTTAGAGAAGTTTCAGTCATATTCAGAGGTGTTCCTAACACCCATGCTCATGATACTACTTCTGTTCCTTTACAGCAAATCATCCCTTGGTTTTCAAAAACTATTAAGACCTTCACATTTGGTTGCAACACCGATTTAGACCCATATTTTACAGATGTTTTATCTCTTTCAGTATTCTCTTAGTAAGTGATAATATTTAGGCACTTGATTCTGGCAAACCAACGCCATGCTGTGCTCTGTCAGGAATCTGGCAGAGCATCACTGCAGGAATAGAGCAACCCAGATACCCAGAGGGGACAACTCAGCATTTCTAACTGCACTTACAGTACTTCTGCTACACACTGTGTTGGCATGGAAAGCAGGGCTCCTCTTAAGCTCCCTCCCTCTCCCTTCCACCTTTTCATCCTTACACTGCTTTGCTTGCTCCCAGCAGGTCCTGATGACACAAGTTACACCCTGGACACTCTGTGTTGGTGCACACAGATTTATATCCATGTTAGCAATGGCAGGGAAGTTTAGATGGTAATGGCAAAACAGCCCAGTAATTATTCTCCTATCCATGTTTGTGATTGCAGTACCAGCTGCAACAACTTTGTCAGTTACTACAGGCTCAAGTCAGAAAAACTCTTCTGGCAACAGCACACAACCACGGTAAGGCTTAAAGAAACGTGCTGAGTTTGTGCACAGACAAGTTATTGATGTCCTGTTCGTGCCTGTCTCCCTGGGGTATGCAGGGTACTGGTGAATAGTTAACAGCAAAATACTCCTTAGCTGCTATTTCTTCCTTCTATTTACTGTTGTTGTTGTTTTTTTAATGTAAAGAATTTTCTTCCCCTTTGGACTTCCTGTCATGAACACTGCAGCAGCACTTAAGAGCACAATATACATCAACTCCCAGTGTGTCAGGTGCAGGAAAACTCAGGAAGAAGCAGCAGTACCTGCTCCTGAGAGCTTGGAATTGTGCTCTGAACTTTGAATAGTGTTTTGTTTTGAAAACACGAAGACTAGAATCACAGAATGGCTTAGGTTGGAAAGGACCTTAAAGATCAGCTAGTTCCACCCCCCTCCTTCCTAGTGTATAAAAGCTACTCCTGCCTTCTTTTCTGGTAATGGGCTTTGCTAGCTAGTGGTAAGTAGAATTGATAACTTATTTGCTCTTCCTGCAAAGGAACACCATCATAATCTCTGTGGTTCTGTGCATCCTGCTCATCCTGGCATTGGCCATCACAACAACACTGGGCATCAGGCAGCGCAAGAAGCTGAAGACAAAAGGTATGTGGAAATTGGTGATTTCTATTCAGTGATTCTAGATGGGTCCTTCTCTAACCATCATTTTTCCTCTTCAAGCAAGATTATTCCCAATTCACAGTACTCTGGGGAAGATAACATAGGTCAGGCTTCAAAAAGCCTGCCTCAAAGGCAGGCTCCTTGCTGTGATGAAACCCATGTTCCCCAAGACTCCGCACAAAACACCTCCTACCATTTTAGAGAAGTAAACTGGGAGAAACACGTTCACCAGACTCAGGGTGGATGGGTCCCACTGGCACACCCATCACTGGGCAATCCCAAAGCCTCCCCAGAACTCCTTGGAGCACAGCCGATGACCAGGCATTGTTATGGGCTTCTCTGCTTCTAAAAACTCTGACTCTGGCTCTTTCCAAAGGTAACAGAGAAGCAGAGGACACCTATGACAAACCAGAGGACACCTATGACAAACCAAAGAGCCCAGCACAGGTAAGGAATATGACTGACTTCCATTTGGTACCTGAATCCATTACCTGTGAGGAGCTGGCTGACCCACGTAATGAAGACCCATTTTTGGTTTTGAGTGTGAGGTGAAGTAGTATTAAATACCACCACAGAAAGGAATATGGGGGCAGTGGAAGGAAAATTCCACTGGAAAAAATAAAACGAACCCAAGGTGGAGAAAATTCTAGTAATCTCTGAGAAATGACTGAAAGACTAGAAAGCAAGGTTAGAAGATGAAACTGTAGCCTGTCTCAAGGAGAGGAGATTAAAGAAAGGGTTTTCTGTTACTACTTCCTCTGCCATGACCAGAGGTGACTTTTCACACAACTTCTCCTGGAAGAATCTTGTTCCTTTGATAACAGCTGTGCCTTGGCACTGAATGATGCTGACTACTGTTTGCTCTTCCTTTTTATAGCTTGAGAGCACTGAAAGAATGGGAAGAACCACAGATGACAGCAGAGATCTAAATTACATTACCCTGGACTTTAAACCCCAACTCAGCTCTGATGAACCTCTCTACTGTAATGTTGAACTGAGTCAGACTCCCAGGAAACCCATAGATGAAAATGTGGAATATGCTATCATTACACACAAGCAGTTACCTAAGAATGACAAAGGAAGAAGCACAGAATCCTAAAACAATCCAGAAATGGGAGAACTGCAATATAAACTGGGAATGGAGAATAGTACATGAACACTGGGGAAAGAATTAAGGTTTTGCTGCCACATGTACATTGCTTATGCATTTTAAGACCTCTTTCCTTTTAGAAATTTGTCACAAGTGTGCAGATCCTTTTAGGTCAGAAAGGTACTTGGTAACTCTCAGGATTGACTGCACATTTGCTTTTTTGATTCTATTAAAATGCAGCCTCTCTGGGAGAGGCAGATGTGGAGGACTCTCACCTTGCTATCACTGGGTTTGTTTATAGTGAGTTGCAGATATGAGTACTGGGTTCTAGGAAAAAGCAGAACCAGCATCTGCCTGAAGGCAGGTAGCTTGAGTGTACTGCAACAAGCTGAAACAGTGCTCTGCGAGTTGTGCAAGCTGAGGGTTCTGCTGCAAGAATCTGAACACCAGAAGGTCTTCTAAGAACAAAACAGTGGTGCACATCCACAGTGCATACAGCTCTTGATACTTTATGCAAATCCCTACATTTATCAGCCTGCCTAGGTAAGAAATAAGATGGAAAGAGGCTTTCAAACTAAAGCTAAATGCCCACTCATCAATTGAGAAAAAGGGCATGTGTGCTGGATTTGGGTGTAGGAAGGAAAGAAGATGAGATCACTACTGAGAGCAAGCACAAATGTACCTTAATGGAGTGCAAAGCACCCCATCCTGTAAAGACCTCCTAATCAGAGACTTTCATTCTGTTCAAAAGCTTCTGGGTGGCTTGCTCTCTTACACCTGTTCCTCAAGAAGACACAAACTGGCTGCTTGAACCAAAGCAGCATGGAACACAGACAGAGACAACAAAAAATGAGTGTTTCTGGAGAAAGGAAGGAAGGGAGCATGTGACACCACAGCCAAGGAATGGATAGGGCACTGGGGTGTTTTTGAACAGAATTTACCAACTGCACAAGTGAGCCCTAAGCCAGACATGAGGCAAGTCCATACAGACAGCAGCACAGAGCAAAAAAACTGACAGAAGAAACTGACAGCAAGAAATTGGCAATCCTGCCCATGGTAGGGGGCTGGAATTAGATGATCCTACAGGTCCCCTCCAACCCAAGCTGTTCTATGATTCTATGATAAGCTTAGCAGAGTTTCAGGAAGTACTGCAAAGACAACAGAGGAAGAGGTATGAGCACAAGAGGGCTGTTTTCAACATCAGGTGATACAAGAGAATGGAAATGCTGGTAATTCAAGAGTAGATTACTTACAGATATAAATGTCCAAGTAAATTGGATACATAATATATTTATAAACCCCTGGTGCAGTTCTGATGCAGGCTTCCAAGAGTTGCCAAAGAACACTGGACTGGAAGGGACCTGACCAACCCCCTGCTATCTTGAATAACCCCACCATAAACTAGGAAACATACTCTCAATGGACTTGCTCTCTAGGCTCCCATCAGACACCTCTGAATTAACTATTAGCCAGACTGAGATGTAGCTCTGTGTCCCTGCAGCACTGTGTTCTACTCACCCTGGCACCAAATAAAAGCCCTGGCACTTACTGAGCTGCACCAAGCTCTGCAGACAGGTGGCAGATTAAAGAGGCCTGGACCACCTGTTTACAGGCCTGTCACATCCAGCTTTCTGATGGGCCTCTCTTGGCTATGGCTGCAGTAGAGATGCTGATTTGTTCTTCGAGACTATCAGAGTTGACCTGTTTAACTTGAAATTAAAGGAAGAAAAAGAAAATGGAAAAAAACTGGAAAAGGATCACCCAGGCTATGACTCCCCTAACTATGTGTACACTCAATTACACTGTGTCAAACAGTAGAATAGTAATGGTAAAAGATAATAAAATGCAAGAAGTATATTTTCAGGATCACAGTTACTTCTCATGAAAGAGAATCCAGACTTGAGCTTTTTGGTGCAAGAAATAAAAAAATGGAAGTTAGAAAGACCCACAGAGAATTTTTAGGTACCATCTTCTTAAACACTAATTAAAGAAAACAAGGCACATTTACTAAGACAGATCTGCAGATTTATCTGCCTGTTTCTATAAGATAAGCAAGGTTTTATCAGCATTTGAATGGAACATCTCCAAGTAAGCAAATCCAACAAATTAAAAAGGGCAGCCCATCAGTTTGCTAACGATACCAGAGGCCACCACATGACGCTCTCTTTCAGACTGTCTAGACTAAATTGTGGCTGTGAGTGGGCAAAGCTGATGCCTGAATTTTCAGCCAGTGAGAGAAATGCCCATGCCTGGTGAATTGCTCAACATGCAGGACAAGAAAGATGCCAAGTTCCTGTGCTCATTCCTTCCGGCAGAGCTAGGAGGGGAGAAAAGCAAACTGCTCTTGGGCAACAGCCCTTTTCACTTCTGTCTGGATTCCTCTCTTGCCCCCTTCTCTGCTGAATAGACATGGAGAAACTCATGCACCTCGTCTTGGTCTTCATCTCAGGTAAGAAAGCATACATGGCCTTTGGTTATGATAACAGGTAGGGTAAAGAACTGATGCAAGAACTTAGTCTCTATCTTAAGAGTAATCACCTCTATGAGATAATGATTACAACAAACTACAAGACTGCACAGGCCTTGAGATGCAGTAGCTCTTTCTCGATGCAAAGGCATCATCATTGTAGCATGCAGCTCTTTGGAAAAAACAATACAATCATTTACTATGGACAGTCTTACTACCTGTCTGCACACTGCAAGGTGGAAACACAGTACAAGCAGAGGGAACCTGAAGCTTTGCAGTACATTCTGCATCCTGTTCTTCCTCCCTTGTTATACTGCAGAGATGTCAGACCCTTTCTTCCAATTTTGCTCTATACCCTTAATTTAACAAAGGGGCTGTAAGAAAGCAGAGAGCAGACTCTGTAGCAGGGTCTGTGTGATAGGACAAGGGGAAATGGTTTCAAATCAAAAGAGGGAAGATTTAGGTTGGATATAAGAAAAACGTTGATTGTGATGAGGGTGGTGAGGCACTGCACAGGCTGCCCAGAGAAGCAGTGGTGCCCCTTCCCTAGAGAACCCCATGGGGATGGGGCTGTGAGCACTGATTGAGCTGAGGGTATCCCTGTGCACTGCAGAGAAGTTGGATTAGATGACTTCTAATGATTCTGAAATGATTCTATGACCCAAGCACTCAGCTTTCCTCACAGGGATCCTTTTGAGTCAGAAGATGAAACACTGTTTACAGAAGTCTTGTCTGCTTTCTCAGAGTGAAACTGCAAAATTCTATTTGCATTCGTAGGAGGTTGAATGTAAATCGCAACAGCTGTGGTTCAACAGGAGGAAAATAAAACTCAGTGAAGTAGAGACATCCTTTGGGCATCACAAAGAAATACATGAGTTAGGGAGCACATCTCTGTAGAGAATAACACTCCCAGTCTGTGATTATTTTCAGCTTGGAGAGCAATGGGAAACAAGGCACAGGATCCAGCTGGTATTCTCAGCTGATAGCCTTCTCTTTCCAGGCAAATTCTAGAGATGCCAGATTCCTGGAACATTGCACATGGAGGTATGCATACAGGCTTTGGGAACACAGAATCTCAATGCTGACTGAAGTCTGAATTTGGAAAAAAGTCCACAATGCTTTTTTCAGTAGCAAAAAAGGGAGGAGGAACACAAACAGTAAATAACCTGTCAGCAGAACCAGCCGAAAAGATAATGACACAAAGTTTTCCATTGGGGCATCAGCAAATCTTCAAATGTTATGACTATCAAGGTACTACTTTGCAACAGTGTTTCTGGTCCATGAAAGCAAAACCAGGGGCTGCTCCAGGAACTGAAAGCCTAGCTGAACAAGGGAGGAGAAGGGTCTGCAGGAGAAATAAGAGGTGGAATTACAGTGTTTAGTTGGCTCTCCTGGGACTGGACATGCAGAGAGGTAAAGCCTTCCCTGGAACCACTGAGTGGAACAAAACAGCAGGATGAAAGTTTGTAGGTGATGGATGACTGGAGAGCATAGATCCATTTTTATGCCGTCCTCTAGGAAAGCCTGAAAGACCTTCAGCTTCTTTTTTCTTTCAGCTTACAAAGCACTTAGAATGTTTAAAATTATTTTAAGATGTTTTACGATAAGGCTCTGCCAACACAAAGGCCTCACAACAACCCATTTTTTAATTTACTCCTGTTTTAGCATTATTTATCTTGCCACAGAATCTACATAGATTTCCAGAAATAACACTCTATACTTCTCTTTCTAAGTATTAATAAACTTTCCCTTCTGCCTTTGCCCACTATAAGGAGGAAATGGAAATTAGAAATAAGGAACTAGAACAAAAAAAGCCAAGCAGCTGCAGACCAGTTATCAACAGGATTAAAATTAATAGGTTATTAAAAAGACAGGATGAAACAATCTGCAAAGACTCTGGGATCAGAAATCAGGAATGTGAATAACAAGCAACCTGCTAAACAGCTAGCTGGTCACTTGTTCCTATCTTTCACTTTGATTTCAGCACCTGTCAAGGCTGTTCTGCTTTCCTTTTGCTGCATAAAAGGCCCTGAAATTGTGACAAACTTTATAGGTGTTTACTGCACAGGACCTTTTTCACATCACAGCATGCATCAGAGCCAAATCTGCACCTCTGAACATACGTGGAAGGGTTGAGCTCAAGGCTAAAGCCTGAAGCAAGCGCTGCTGCAGCTGTTTGCAAGTAGGCAGGCTGCATGCTTCAAAGAAAGGGTGTTACAGCAAGGAGAAACTAACTAAAGGCTGCTGAGAAACGAGTTATTACTGGGTCAAGATGACCTGCCTGGATGCCTACCTGTGCAGCCTGCTGTAGGGAGCCTGCTTTGCAAGAGGGTTGGATTCAGTGATCTCTAGAGGTCCCTTCCAACCCCTACAATTCTGTGATTCTGTGATGATCTGCCTCATAAAAACACCTTGTAAAACCAAGCCAGTTTACCCAGTGTCAAGTCAACCTGCTTGAATGCCCAGCTTTGTGCCCCTCCAGAGCAGAGGAAAACACAAGTTCCTATTTAAGTCCCCTAGTCATGCTGACAAACTGTCTTCCCTTACTGGGGAGGAGCACAGTGACCACAACAAGTGTGACAACACTGAGCCGCAGACTGCAATCCGCAGGGCCAGAAGGGGAAGATGAGGACCAAAATTTGCTGAGCTTCAGAAGATCTGCAAACTTCCACAGGAAAAGCTGCTCGGCAAGAGCCAAATGACACACCAGTCAATAGGATCACTACAGGCTTATTTCAAGGAAGCCTGAACCAAGCCTGAACCTGAGCACACTGAACCAGCCCTGTAGTTGGCAGTAGCCATCATCAGAGAAGTAGAAGAGGAAAATGACATTTGTTTAGCACAAACACAGTAGTAAGGGATAGAGACGAAGGTTGTGGCTCACCACTTTCTCCTCCTCTCCTAGCATCCTGCACTGCAGAGAACATCACTATGGTGTACGGAATGGAGGGTGGGACCATATCTGTGAACTGCACCTACAACCCCCGGCAGCAGCGGTGGAGAGAGAAGAGTTGGTGCAAGCAGATCGATGGGAGTAAGTGCCAACACGTGGTGAGCGCCCGCCGCTTCTGGCTGCCATTTCTGAAGAACAGGAATGGCACCACTTCCATCAGCGACAACATCCAGGATGGGGTCCTGACAGTGACCATGAGGCGACTCAGGAAGCAGGACGCTGGGCTGTACCAGTGCAGAACTGACTATCTGGGGGAAACAAACACCTTACGGAAGGTACAAGTGGATGTGCTGACAGGTAGGTCCTGGGGCTCTGAGTTTCACAGGTTCCTACTTAAATTTCACATCCCTGCAGACACCAAGACTGTACTTTGGTAAACATTTACTTTTGTCTGTCTCTAAGGAAGTCCCAGGCCTGTTTTTATTTCCCAATTTACAGCAATACAAACTCACTGCTACAGGACATCTAACATCTGCATCTAACAACATGTTATCTGTCACCACCCAGACTAACCTCCTAGCACGCAGCCCAGTCCCTAGACTCACTTTGGTTACCTGTGGCTATCTGGGGCACTGGTTTTGTGACACCACTGAATATCACATGGAAACATTTGCAGACTGAACTGTTCTGTTTCTGTCACCAGCTGTCCAGGAGACACAAATCCCAGAGGAGCCCAGTGCTGTGCAGAGCATCTCCAGGTAAACCATAACATTCCTTCTTCTAAGACTAAACTAGATTAGCACCTGTAATCCCATTTGAAGCTGAGAAGAATATCACTACAGGCACATTCTCTGCCCCTTTCTAATGCATAACAACTCTTGTAGCTGCTGCATGGTTTCTGAACAGAAAGCAGTGCTCCAGGGCCAGGCAAGCCAAATCCTGCAGACCACAATTTATCCATGTGTGAGATCTTGCAGTTAAAACCTATTACAGTTGCTCTAACCTCGCAGGCTCTGTTGTGCCCAGGCAGGGAGTACCACTCACAGTTGTTACCACCTTTGCACTTTTATCCTACTAAAATACAAGAGTTTATTTAAAGGTTGACTCATCCTCTTCCTTGCTAAGCCTCATTTTGTTGTGTTTATGTTACCCCACAGCATCCCTCCAGAAGCTGATTTCACGGTCCTCTACGTCATTGCTGGATTACTGGCTACCAAGTTTGTGGTGGCTGTGCTGATCTTTATCATTAGCAACAGCATAAAAAACAGAGAGACAGAGCAGAACAAGCCAAGCTTGAATGAACAGCAGGTCCTCCGTTTCCCTGGTGACCTCGTAGAGCATGCACATGGTGGAATCAGGCCCTCCTGGGAGAGCACTGCTTAGAGCTGAACCAAAGAGAATCGACAGGGAAATGAACATCAAGCTTTTTCTAGCAAAGCTTTGCCACCTGCTGTAAGAAAGAAAAGCACTGCCTACTAAATATAGGTATTGACAAACCTATCACTCTGGAGAGGGAATGTCACCATCTACCACCTTCTCTCATTGCTGCTGACCAGCTTTCTCTAACACAACCAAATTGAAATGATGCTGCCAGTAACACCTGAAACTGATGGAAGCGGGTGGGACTGAGGGCTGGGAGGAGGGAGGAAGATGAAATCTTTTTGTCAAGAGATCCAACACAAACCTATTCATGTCGCAGAGATGCTTCCCCAGACACAGTAATGCACAGATAATGCATTGTTGTAAGTAAAACCACAGATACACCAATGGACAAAAACTAGAGTCCAGGTTAACACATCTCAACCACCTTGTGTTTTTGTGCACTCACACACACATACATGCAGTGCAAAAATGCTAAGACACTGTTTCATCTCAAATCTCCAAGGAAGTTTTGATTCATTGAAGAACAGTGCTGAAGAGCTCATGGCTTTTATTCAGAGTGTCCTACACATGTCTACAGAATCCATGAATGCTTCTCCCAAAAGCACGAAGTATAAATGGATGTATGTGGTTCTACTGAAAGCTAGTATTGTCTAGAAATCAGCTTTGTTAAGACTTGTTTGTAAGATTCCTGTCCCCAAAGACCAACGGTTTTGCCATGCTTATGGCAATGCAGTGCTCTGCTGTCACCTCCAGTCACTGCCAGTAACTGCACCACACTATCAGGCAGTTACTCCAAATACTTATCCCCTGCTCAGGTGAGATCTATCAGTGCCATCTCACAGTACTGCTAGGTGACACAGTCTCTTTTTCCAAGACCCCAAAGATCTCCTTGCACAGAGTGGATCCTTAGCAGGCAGTCAGTGTGGAAAGGAATATAGAATTGCAGAACATAACAAAGGCATGTGAAATCTGCACATAGCTCTGAGCTTGTTTCCTCATTTCTCAAATCATTCCATGACCACAAAAATGATCTGTCTCTCTGTACTTTACCTGCACTTTTTCTCAAGGGGATCGTTTGTCATACCCCAAAAGGAAGCTGCAATTACCTGTCCAAAGAAGAACCCAAACCCAGTGCCATTCACACTTCTTCCTGCATTGCCTACAAAACTAAATAAAAACAAACTGGTTATCTTACATAGTGTGGATTCATGATAAAGGGCTGGAGCACACCAATTCACAATAAATCACTCAGAACAAGCTGTTGTGTTTTACAGTACTCCAAGCTGGCTGGGCAGGCAGCTCCATTTAGCACCTGGCAGTAACAGTAGCTGAGATCCAAATCCAGACAAGGCTATGCACCACTGTGCTCTAAACTAATTTCCTTTAATTTGGTATTTCCAAACGACTCTGAAGTGCCTAGCATAAGCATGGGCTATAAAGCAAGGAAACTGTAGCACTACCCAGGAGGCAACCCTGACACCTCATGGGGGGCCACTCACTGCCTCTGTGATGTTGGCACTTCTGAACAAGAATATGGAAGTTGCACATAAGCACAAAACTGCACGAAGGACTAACTTATCCTACTGAAAGCTGCACTGCCCAGGTGGCACCAGAATCTGAAAACGTCTATTTCTTTTCCAGCCCCACAGTCTGATTGCTAAATATAGCTATCTACACAATTAAATATTTAAAGAAAAAAAGCAGCCAATAAACATGAAGCAGTCTTCCCACTCAAGACAGTTTGTGGTTAATAGATGTTCTTAGCAACTCCAAACTGCCATCATCACTCTAAGCAGCAGAAACTGTAAATGACAAAGCAAGTTTAGCTTCCTCTGTATCAGAGAATTCCTCAGTGGTAACAAAGCTCTAAGATACATTCTCCTCTCTATGCCATATACCACTTTCTACTGCAGGATGGGAAGTTTTCCAGCCCTGCTGCTCCTGCTAGTGCTACCAGGTAAGGCTTTGAATCACTCTGAGGAGCAGGGTGCTGCTCTCAGTGCTGCTGTACACACTGCACGCTGTTATTTGCTTGAACACTTTTTATTCAGGCCATTTATGGCCAGGCAAAGAATAGGATTGCCAGACGTCAACAAAAGGAGATGCTGAAATGTGTTTATTTCATTTACATAAGCTTAGGTTTCCTCAGTCTGAAATCACCTACCATATGGGGAGGGAAATCTGTGTTATTTTCTCCTGAAACATGATGGATGAGGTATTGTGAGCAGTGTGAGACAGGCTAGCTGCTGTTTGCTTTCTTACAGCCTGTGAATACTGAGTCCACAGGGAGGAACAATATGAATAACAATGGAAAAAGGGTAGTGGCACCAAGGCTGGGTATGGATGTTTCTGTATTCAAACCTGCAGAGACAGATAACTCTTCTCACAGTCCCAAAGGTATCAGCAGTATGATGCAAGAAAAAGTGGCACAGGAAGCTGTGACTACTTCTGGCATCAATTTTCTCCTTCCTTTCAAAGGATCACACATGGCAGGAGAGGACACGCAAGTGTTTCTGCAAGTACAAGGAGAGTCCTTCAGAGCTAACTGCTCATATGACACGCACAAGCACTCACATGAGAAGAAATTCTGGTGCAAGGAACAATCAGAAAAATATTGTTCAGTCTTATCCTTGAGCTTCCCTTCAGAAGAAAGGATTGGTCCTAACCGTGCACTGTACCATCCAGCTGAGCTGAGAGACTCTGGAGGCGGTTGGTTTTCTGTAATCATGACAGCACTTCGAAAAGAGGATTCTGGCACATATCAGTGTGGAGTTTGGGTTGAAATGAAGCAAGTTTTGCTGCAAAGAATACAGATGGTGGTTTCACCTAAGGGTGAGCTATGTGGTCAACAGCACACTGGGTGGGAGACAACCAAAATAAATCAAGAATGACATGTCATTTCCATTTTTTTTTGTTCCATAGCTAAACATGGTATATCTAGACATCATAATTCCCCCAGGAGGTTATCAAGGGCAGGATAAAACTACATTCTATAGCTCCATATAAAATCACAATATGTATCTGTATCTATCTAGAGGCAGAAATGGCCAATAAATTATTTTTTTTTTTTTTTTCCATACGAAATGAAGAAGTTCCAAAGGGAAAGAAAGCATTATTTTAAAAATCACCATGAAAAACCATAAATACAATTTTGTGGGATTGTACTAATCAAAACCAAATGGGTTTGGGATAGAAATATTTCAGACAAGCTGATGAAAACTAAAAGAATACAACTTTCTTTTGGAGAAAATTTTCCATTTTGTTCCAAGTGTTTTCCAGTCACAGAAACCTTTCATGCAGAAAGGCTCTGATAATTCAAGAAGAAGACTCATGAGAGGGAGCAACACCCTCTTAAACTTGAAGATAGATATTAGGCATTAGAAATATGCTGAGGTGGCTTCTTGTCACAGCACCTGGGCAATGTGACAGCAGTGACAGCCCCAGAATGCAACAGAGTACCTGATACAGGCTTCCACCTCTTCTGCATGTTCTCTTTGTGCTGCTGTTGGCCTCTGCTCCTTTGCTGGGTGATACACACACTACGACAGGGATTGTTCTTTCTTGTCTTTTATCCTTCTAATGAGTCACCACTTTATTTTCTTTAGAACCTGTAACAGTATTTGCCAAAAAAGGGAAATCTCTGTTCCTCCACTGCTCCTATTCCATGACAATCAACATCGGAGAACTTCAACGTTTTATTTGGTGCAAAATGGTGTCCCAAATTACTTGTCAACCTATTATCAGAGGTAACGCTGATCAAAGTATTGTTAAAGCAGAGAGGACTGAAATGATGAATGACTTCTCATGGAAAATGATTAGAATGTGGCTGAAAAAGCTCCAACTTAATGACTCAGGAGAGTATCATCTTGAGAGCCATCTCCAGGGGAGAAACAAACTACTGAGGAGGATTGTGCTGAAAGTTTTGGGTGAGTTAATCAAAGAATTAATGATGATCTTCTAAAAGTCAGCAATTTCTTAATACTTGACAAGAAAGATTACAGGTCAGTGTTAAAGAGCTCTCTTCTGAGCCTTGAAATTTCCTGAGACACAGATAACTCCAGAATTTCCTTTTTAAAACAGATTTTCTGACACATACTAATGGTATAAATTGCTGCCAGTTCTTGGGAGGGGGGCAGTCTGACTTGGCTTCCTTGACTGATGACATTTCACATTTGCATCAGCAGATGGAACAGACTCCAAGAGATCTGAACGTTTCTATGAATTTCTACCTGAGTTCACCTCTTTGTCACTGTCTGTTAATAAACTTTTGAATTTAATACTTCCCTTCTGCTTTTAGCCAGTGCAGAAAGCAGCAAAACAGAACGCACTGAGTGGAAACAATCTGATCTTTCTGACCTGACTGAAAAACACCGGAGGGGAGGTAAATAACGAGATACCTTTTTTAAGAAAAAGATGTCAAGATTTGTCTTCTAAGAAACTTTCTTTCTAGCAGCAGTCAAATGCAACTCAGCTTTCAAGCTGCTCTCTAAAATGTCATGAATTTACGTGGCTCACCTATTTTGCAACAGTGAAAAAACACCAGATGACTATAACCTGAAGGAAAGAAAATTAACCTGAAGGAAAGAAAACTGTAATCACAAGATGTCTGCTCCTGTCCCCATAGCTATTTGCTGCTGGCTCTCTGGCTGAGCCTACACCTGGTACTTTCATGTACATACACTGCTGATAGTACACTAGTGCTACTAGCCAACAGCCTACACAAACTCCCAGCTCTTTCCTGAGAAAATGGATGATCCTATAACTGGATGATTCCCATGACTCAGCTGCATTAATAAGCTTTCTTTTGCTTTTCTTTTGCACAGGATGGACATTCTTGTGCATTCCGCAATTTCATGGTTAACAAACAAGCAGTATCTCTGGAGCATGCTAGAAAGCCATCAGGGATGGATCAGTGTGGGAAAATCATTCACTTCTGCTTTTTTTTTTCCAAGGGGAAAAATGGAATATAGATGCCAGCCCCACAGACAACAGCAGAAAGGACCAGAGGTAAAAAAACAAAGACACCCAGACCCTAATCATAGCATTCTGGCTGCACTGCAGGATTTGAGTGGTGCTGTGATAAACAGCTGAAACGTGCACACACACACACACACAGGCTTCTCCCTATGGAGAGGTCAACCTGCTCAAGCCCTGTGAAAGCCATACAAGTTTCCTACTGGTTTCAAGAGCTCTAGGTGATGACTCTACTGAAGATGCTCAGTTTCAGTGTTATTCCTTCCCATCTGCTTAAAAAGGGACAACTATACAACCCATGCAATGTTACAATGATTCTGCTCTTGTACAAACACACTAGCCTAAGAGCAACCCATAATGATCCTGATCAAAGACAGACCATGAGAAGGGCTCCTGCATCCCGATAAGGGATGCCTTTGAACTTTAAGCAGCACTGTAATTGAGTGCAGGAAGAGATTTCAAGCTCCTGAATGTGCCCCAGGCTTGTAAAGAGCCAGAGAAAATACAGCTGGGATGGATCCTCTGTGAGTGTACACCAGTACTGACCTCACAGAATCACACTTGTTGAGAGACAACAGGGTTAAAAGTTGTATGCTGAATTTAACTTCAGACACACAAAACCTCCTCCCAAACTAGCCTAGTCACCTGTGGTGCTGTAAATTGTGATGGAGACACTATGTTTTCCTTTACAGGACTCCCTATGCTGTCATGGTGCTGATTTCCTTACTAGCTACAGCTGCCCTGATCGCTACTGTTAGGCTCATCACCAGCTGCATGGAGAAGAAAAGGGCAGGTAAAGCTCTCTAATCCTCTTGTCTTTTTCCTGCCCCTGCAGCCTGGTTTCCCAGCACCCTGAAGATATGCACGGTTTATTCAGAGGTATCATTGTTCAGGAAGGAAGTGCAACTGAGCTGAGAGTGATACACAATATGTGCACTAAACTTCAGGGAAGGGAAAGTGGAAGCAGTCATTTTTTTAAATAAAAAAATAGTTGTGTAGTTTTACGCTCAAGAGAGATTCCGTTCTTTGTGGCAGGAAAAGAGGTGGACTTTGACAGACATTCTGCTTTCAGAAAGGGAGTGCTGCAGGTAAGAGATCATTTGAAATCCCTTATTCTTGATGCTCTGTTTGATCTCTGCTATGCAGCAATGCTGGCTCTGTGCTCACCACTCAAGGGGATCACAAAGCACACAGCGCCACTCATCCTACAGTGAGAATGTGTTCCATCCAGCCAAGCCAGGAGACTAAAGCTGTCTGTGTTTGTGACCACATCTGGGTGCAAAGCAGACACAGCCCCAATAACCTGAGCAAGTCATAATTCCTGTTTTTGTTTATAGTACTCAGAAAATAAATTCAATAACAAATAGGTAATTGTGAAAGTTCACTGGCCTTGGATCTCCATTATTACCAAAGCTTCTTATCAAAGGAAAACTTTGTTATTTGCAATCTCTCTAAATATTTAGTGTGTTATCTGTTGTTGAGCCTTTCTACCGAGGATTCAGGATTGGAAAGGAGAGTTTTGTGTACAAGAATTTTCCCTTTTTCCTTGCATCCTCTCTCCTCCTTCTCAGTTTCAGAATATGTGGAGAAAGTGTTTGTAATTGTAATTGAACCGAGACTAATATTCAGAATCAAAAAAGTGCTGCATTTCTTTTTAACTTCTTATTCTGTACATTTTTAAAGAAAGGAAGAAAAAAAGCAAATAGAATGCCAGATGGGGACCACAGTGAGAGTACGATATATGCTGCAATAAGGCACCAACCTCAACCCAAACCTGAAGATGTTATGTATGTCAACATACAGCCTTCACCGAAAGTTTTCTTCCTTCAGGAACCACCAGGGACCTCAGATCCCCCAGGGCCTGTGGAATATGCTACCCTTATCTTTAAGGACACAACTCCACAATCTGAAATTGAAGAGAGAAAAACAGGTCCACTGAAAGAAAGCAGCACAAAGCCTTCAGCTTATTGATGGAACGCTGCTGAACTGAGCTTAGAAACAACCTGCTTGTAACCAATTGCTGGAGATGTGTACACACAGGATTGCTGAAAGGATGAGACACATGGATGCACAAATCTTCCCTGAAAAACAACCAAAGTTTTCTAATAGCACAGCAGAACAATTCAGCACACAGAACAATTCAGCTATCACTGAACAAACATTGTGAAATGCTGTGGCATATTCGCTTTCTGTACAAGGCTCTATTTTTAAGCAATGAGCAACTGTAAGCCCAACTTCAGGAAACAGGCTGTCTGTGATAGCAGCAGATCCAGTGCCACAGCCAGCAATGGGCTGCGAGATATGGGAGCACAGCACTTCCGTTTGGACTTCCAACTCACTTAAATATCTGCATGTGAAATGTTAATTACAGCCCACTGATTAGGACCAAAACAGCAAAGTGGTAAAGTACCAGCTGAATTTTAGCACAGAAGTTGTTTTGCGTACTTTAGAGAGACAAGTAATGCTCTCCATGTTTCACCAAACCAGGGCTTTGCTGAATAGTATTTGCCCACGTAAGATGTCTTCAGTCTGAACACACAGTTGCAGAATTCAGACTGTATGTATAACTTTGGGTTTACTTGCCTTCTCTGCTTGTTTATTAATGCCACAACCATGCTACAGTATAACTCTGTCTTGGCTCTGTTGTAAATTTCACTCATTCTGATCAAACTACTGAATACTGTTACCGTGGTGATAAACACAAACACCCCTAGGAATTATGGATAACTCCTAAAATAAAGCTGACTAAGATTCTCACCTTAATGCTCTGAGTTGGATCCACAGCTGCTGAACATGATACAGAAATGGCTTTTGTGTTTTTTATATTACAACTGGAAGAAAAGGAAAGTGAAAAGGCACATTCATCAATTAATCATATCACCTGCACAGAAACTCCACTTTGCCTGTGGGTTCTTTTCCACTTCTGAGGAGACATGGGGAGAGAAGAGGGGAAAGAAGATGAAACTTCTTTTGCCAGGTCTGATGTGGCTACAGGACATCAGGGTCTTTGCTGTTAAAGCTGAGATGATTTTGTCTCTCTATTGCAAATTCTCTGAAAACAGAACCAGAAAAAAAAACATTAAAATAACTGCTAACTATATGTGTGTGTGTGTGTGTAGGTGTTTTTTTTTGATTCCTAAAGAGCTGCACTGGCTCACACTGGAAAGAATTAATGACTGAGGTTCATGCCACTTTTCAGACAACAAATGTGTTTGCGTGCAGCCATGCCATTAAGGTCTGACATTATGCACACCAGGAAAGATCAGTAATTATCACAACAAGCATCAATACACAAATTCTACTTCTTATTTAACCAGTTTGATTCTCTGAAAGCAACTAAACTTTGCATGTCCAAATTTCTCATCTAGCTGCAGTGGCACACAGAGTAAACAATCTTAAAAGCAATGTAAGGGAAACTAAGTCACAATAGAAAGGCTTTCTGGTACACACTTCCTTTTCTCAACACAGCTGAAGACGATCTACTATCACATGATGAAGCTGAAGGGGTTTGTAGGGCCAGTTTAGCACTTAGATTGCATCAGTCTTCTGTCACGAAATACAGATAAGTAACCACCAGCATTAGGGCAAAGGCACTCAGAGGACTGTTTGCAACTCTAACAGGCAGTAGAAGTATACCCAAATGACTGATGGCTGGGCAGCCTGTCTGCTCACTGCCAAGCACTCTGGCCTTAAGTGGACTTTAAGAACAGAACAATCACATAATAATCTGTGAATTATACTCCAGAAATTCTACTACAATCATCACAGTACTATGCCATCCTGGGAACTTCCAGCAGCAGCTTTGCAAATTGGTCATGCAAAAGAAGCCATTGAGATCTGAGCAAAAGACTGAGATGAAAAGGATAATGTTTCATTAGCCACTAAGTAAACCATCCAGTGCTGCTCCATGTCTTGAAAGACCCACAAAAAAACAAAATGGCAAAGTAAACTGAATTTTGGATGATACTGCTTAGGAGCAATACTAGAGATCAAGGAGTCTCCTGCTGGATGAAATAGAGTTGGCTCATCCATATCTTCCCTTTTCCTCTGGAAATCACTGGGGCATGAGAATATTTTTGGAACAAATGCTTGCCTCTAGCTCCTTGCAATACAAAGAATTGGCAATGTGTTACTGCTTGAGGAACCAAGGAACAGAGAAAACCCAACACTTACCAACCGTGTCCACTTCACGTTAGCAGCACAAAATTTTATCCATTCTGTTCACTTTAGAATATCTGTTCAATTGTCCTCAACTTCCTGCCTTACTTCTCTCTGTTCCCAGCAACTCAGAATATTGATTACCAGAACAGAAAGCTAAGCAATAAAGGACAAGATCCTGGCAACCGTGACTAGCCCAAGATTAGCAGATACAGGAACTTCTCTCCAAAGCAAGGGGTTGCTTTAAATTAGTCTGGTCCTGCTCTTGTTAGGGAACTGAAAAGAATTTCAAATTAAGAATAAAGCAAAAAGCTGTGAAAATCAATATCTGAGTGGCTTTGTAATCAGATAACCTATTATGTGCTGTGGGCATTCCCTTCAGGCCTATGATGCCTGCTTATTCCCCTGGGCCACTGCCCTTCATGCTCTTCTGCATTCATGACTCTTTAGCTGTGATGTCCTTGAGGATTTATTCTGCTCTATTTGCCCACAATCACACTTGTATCATTTCTGCATTTCATCACGATCTCAGAGCTGCCAGCAACACTGTGTCAAATGAGCAGGCCAGCATCTGTCAGGACCCACACTGACTGCCAGCCTGCGGGACTGCAGCGCGTAGCAGTGTCCGAGCTTGAAGCCTGGTGCAGAGAGAAAAATATTTTTTTCAGAAGATAACCCCCAACAGCAGTACCTAACTGGATGCTCAGAACTGCCTGCTGGAGGCACTCCTAACCTACCTCATCTATGGGGACACCATCCCCCTAATTTGGGCACTGAACACAGTCAGTATGACTGTGCTCTATCAGAACTGGTATTAGAAGAACTCACCTATTTTCACTTAGAGCTTTCAGCCAGTATTTCCAAGCTGTGCTACAGATAACATAAAAATGACATCCACAGCTAGGTTCATGTGGAAAGCGCTGTTAAAGCATCCCGTGCAGGAGAAAGAAAGACAAAAGCGCTTGGACTAAAGCTGCCATTTTTGTTCTTGTTCTGCTTGTTGGCAGCAGGTGACACCCATGCAAGCTCAACACCTCTGCTAGCAAAGGAGCTGCTTTTGCACCCGTGAGGGCAGAACCAAGCCCCAAGAACTGTAGTGATTCCAGTTCTTTCTAGAACTCATTATATGCCCACAAGTACCTGCAAAGTTTAGTGTATCCCTTCTAAAATAAAGCCTATCCCAAGAACGCGGGAACAAAGGCTTAACGCAGTATTTTGGTTTTTATATATATATGGCAGCTATTAATCCAAAGAGCTTTGCAAACAATAAATATACACAAGAACACACAGCAATGCAGTAGCATACAACTACTTGATACCATACAAAAAGACAGCCTAGCAGCAGTCCTGATAAAAGTATTTATGTTATCATTGCTGAAGTTACAATACTGCTGAGAGATCCTGAGCAGCATGCGTGGAAGGAACAGCACGCCTGAGAGGGATTAGCAGGCAGACATGGAAGCGGAGCATTTCTAAAACCTTTCAAAGCCTGCCCAATCCTCTTAAGAGGAAAACTTCCTTTTGTACCAAAACACAAAAAATAAGCTCTGACAGTCTCCATTCTGTCATATTTGAGCAAATAAAGATAATGACATGATACTAGGGAGTTTGGGGACAAGAATAAACCACCCTTCTAGAAGATAACCAGCAATACAAAGGAGTAAATGTTTTGGGAAGCACTTGTGTAACGTGAAGGTAATGTCCTCTTTTATGCTTACACAACCCTGAGCAGATTCCAGCACTGCACCCATAGGGCACTCCCTGTGCTCCAGGGCTGTTTCTGTGTCATCATTTGACTCTTCTGGAAGACTCCTCAGGAATAATTACCCAAGGTGCGCAATGAGTCCTGCAGCATGCACACAGGAGATGGCCCTCAGGCACATGGAGCATTATGCCAATGGGTATCCAGGAACTAGACTGGCAAGGGAAAAGAGACAGCGTGACTTCTGGGCATATTTTCCCAAATAATTATTGTCTGAAACAAAAAACTACCATGCTAATCACCATGCACCTCCTTTAGCCACAGCCCACAGATTCCCCCAACAACTCTTCCACGCTCAAAAGGACGCACAAAAGGAACACTGAGAGCAGCCTTCCTTCCCTCCCACAGCTGAGAGGCCATTCCCAGCTCTAGGAGGGCGATGGCATCTTCCTCAGCCTCAGAGCTGAACTTCGGCCTCCCCTCAAACTCTCTGCAGCCCCTCAGCCGCCATCTTGGGGCACTACCCCATGCCGGGCGGGAAACTAGCAGGGCACCACCAGCCAATCAGAGGCGTCCCACTGCAGCACCCACCAATAAGCACGCGTGGCGGGACGCCACAGCTTCCCTCAGCCAATCGGCTTTCAGCGCTCGCCGGCGCCAGGCCCGCACCAGCGGTTCCCTCAGGCGGAGCAAAGGCAGATGGGGAAAAGGCTCTGTCGTTCTGACTGAAAGGAGGAGTTAAAAGCAGAGCCAAAGCCGCTGCTTGGTTTATAAATTTTTATTAGCTGGATAGTGTACACAGTACTTACAATTGCATCTATTAAAGACCAAAATACACTTGAAAAAATGCATTATATAAAAAAAATTATAAACTTTTTAACTATATACAAACTTTGCCTTACATGATGCAAATTTCAGTACCCCCCCACCCCCACATCCAGTCACAAAGAATTTTTTTTCCTCCCTCCCGTTTTTAACATGCAAAGCCATGAAGCGCTCCAGCATCACTCCAGGACCGTCCTCCACGTGTCACCCTTCCACCAAGCAAACACTGCTTTTAGAGGCCAACACAAATAACCCAATGCAGGTGAAAAACGTAACAGCTGCACTCAGGTTTTCACATCCTTATTTGAAGTATTAACAGTAAAGCTTCCTAAGTAACACGAATCCATAGGCCTTAGTACACGTTCTACAACAATAGATCAGAGAACCTAAATATGAAGGGCTCATTGGGGAAAAAAAGTTCTAGTTGCTTTGAAGAAGTTTACAACTTCTTTAAGAAAAACAAGAATGACTAGTTTAAAAGAAATAAACAAAAACCTATGTCAGAGCAACAATCTCTGCTTCCATAACTTCCAACTGTCTGAGGGGGTTCTCTGAGACAGAGATTAGCTGTCAGTTGAGCAGAAATGTTATGGAGGCCATCTTACTCCAGCACAGAAATATTCCTCCAGCACATGAATATCCTATTGACAAAATGTACAGATGCTTAAAAAAGTATTTACAATAGTGCGGCAAATTCAACTAAGGAAAAGGTTTTGTTATTCCTTCACTAAACGAGAGCGATGGGTTTCCTGAAATGGGCGACCTCACGAGAAATGCCAGGTGAGGATTTTATAGTTACTGACTGAAAAAAAAAAAAAAAAAGCAGCACCACGCTCTAACTGGCCAAGTATTTTAAGGCAGAAGCAACCAAAGGCACCAAAAATGCTATCAATGCCTTTTGAATAGCTAGAAAAAACCCTCGTGTAAAATCTGTGAGCAGAATACTAGATTATTAGTATCATTTTTGACAACTGAAATCCAAAGATCTTTTGGAACTTGGCTTTTTACCTTTTTCTGTGGCGGCAGGCCTGCCTTGCAGAACTGTTTGGCAGCTTTGCTTCAGCTCACCACGTCAGCTGTGTAAGGGTAAGAATACAGAGCAAGAAGTTCAGAAGAGAATAAACTGAACTTCATTTAGAAAATCCAGCTGCCTTACTGTGAATACCAAATCTGCTCCTCCTCTTTGTACTTATACTGGCTATGCGTCTTTGCAGGTGGCTGATCTGAACAGTTGTGTTAGTACCTAGGCAGGCACTCTGCTCACAGGTTGCTTTTTTATGAAATACAAATTCCATCACATTTCACATCAGTAAAAATGGGACAAGCTTAAAAATCCGTAACGAACAACAAAAAGTTGTGTTGTTAAGGTATGCAGCCAGAAACCAGTTGTAGTAATGAAAAATCCACTATGTTGTTGTTGTTATTTTTTTAAATGCAGCTACTTCTTGAGTGCCACATTTTAAAAACTCTTCTTTCTTAAGTGGATAGTCTGTAAGAAGCCCGAACAGGTAACCAATACATGCCTTCATTTAACAGTCCTTCAAAAACATCAGTATGCACCTGGTTGAGTGGCCTGTGCTTCCGCCATCATAAAACAGTCCCTCACTCTATGCAGAATGAGAACTGTAGAACTGATTTACAACACACATCAAGAAATACTGTCAAAAAGATGGTCAAGTGTTATCACTCAGACATTGCAGATTGTATTTCTTTTGGAGAACCATGCATCAGACTGGTTAGAAGTAAAGATTTTAAAAATAATCCTTCGGAAGAGAGTCACTTGGAAGCTTCAGTACTTTAATATTGGCATCCACTCTTCTTCCAAAGCATTAACTGCTGGCAATAAACATACCAAAAAACATCAACAAATTGTATTTACTAACTAAATCCTTATCCTCACATCAATAACCCTCTCCACTCTTACTTCTTGGAACACATAGATACACAATAAATCAAGTCCTGTAACAATCTTGAACTGTTTTGATCACTTTGACTTGATGGCTGAACTTTTCCCAGAGAAGAGTTTGCTGTTTACATATTTTACAGAGTGGAGCTTAAGAGAACCCCCTTCAGTTTCTGTCAGTTTTGCAAGTGCAAATGCAACAGCAGAGAACAGTTCAGTAGACAGTAAATCCAAAGACGTAAATAGTGGATGTAACTAGCAATTCTCTACAGGGAAAATGAAGTACTGTGGTATAGCCACATCAGTGCTGGTTGCCATAAACTGGATTATGTCGCTGCACAGAAGGGTCATAACTCCAAGAAGTCTTTGCTGGCCCTTCTTCAGCATGCCAGTTATTGCTGGTCAGTCAGTGGTACACTCACCATGGCCAATCTTAATGCAAGAAATGTTATAAAGGAGAGAAAAAAAAAAAAAAAAGGCATGAGCTGTCAGACTGAAATCCCTGCACTGAATCAGAAGAGTATACCAAGACAGTCATTAAGTTTCTACTAGTTGAGTCAACTGCAGTTAAAATCTTTACCACACACTGAAAAAGTGGTGTTTGTTGTAGAAAAGGATAGGCTGTGATGTGGTGATTGTCCCATTGAAAGACTTGCTTGATACACTGGTAAGGTAGAACAGACTTGCAGAAGGAACAGGAATTCAGTTACATTTTTATGTTAGCAGTGATTAGGAGACTCTGATCATCTGTGTCATTGCTTCTTCATTGGTCTGAGATGGATCCTAGAAATACAAAATAAACATCATTGTAATTTCTAAAATTTTCCGTAACAGAGAGTCACTCACAACTGCCTTTATCAAGAGAAGATACTCCTGTACCCCCCTCTGCCCACGATCTTCAAACGTATCACATTTCTACTGGGTATTACAAGTCACTGTAAGATAACTGTGATATATATGTATATTAATAATTCCTAGCAACATATTGTTTCCGGTATTTGGGAAGACCTATTAATGGAAGGTCTAGGTCTAGTATTTGGAAAGGATTCCACTTTAGAATGAAAAATATTCTTCCACTAAAGTCACAGGACTACTTTAAAGCGCTGGTCAACAATAGAATTTGCTACTTCTACCCCATGATATTCCCTTCTTTGAAACCTTTCTTGCATTTTATTTACGTATCTAAGTAGGCAACTAAGAATCAGACAAACATTTTTGAATTTTCCAACAAGTGTGAGATAAAGCACGTCCCTTAATACACGCCATAATAAGGGAACTTCTGGTATGCAATCACAACAGCTGCACAGACTGTATTTCTTAGAACAATAAATACAGGCATTCTCTATTTGTAAAACAAAGTGAATACATCTCTATGAACATTACTTTAATTACTCAAGGTAAATAGGTGCTTGCTCTCTAAACAAAGTGAAAGGAAGGATTTCTTTACAAAGCTTGAAACAAAAATCTAAAGGCAAGGAGAGACAAAGGTCAGCAGCCTAAGCCCCCCTCCAAAAAACCAGAAAACAGTAGCAACCTGGAGAACTCAAAGCGTTAGCTGCCCGAAGAACAGACAAAATTCTACTTACCTGCATGTGGGGACTGTCTTTTTCCTTTGGTGAGAAGAAACGTCCACCTTCTCCTCGCTTCCTGGCCATGGCATGACGATGCCGAGATTCATGCAAGTATTTCTGTTACAACATAGAAGAGAAGAGCAATGAGAGCAGCCCATTCCTCCTTAGTTCAGTACTTATAGTAATTGAGAACTCGGCAGAAAAACCCGATGCAGGCTCCGTTCTTTCCCCCCCCACCCCTGAAATAAAATGTTTATGGTAAAGACCTGTTTGAAATACAGAGACATTAGATGAGCTATTAAACATATGGAAAGGAAGGACTTAACTGCTACCAAGGGACTTAGAGATTACTCAGAAGTAGTTTATGAACAAGGAAAAAAAAAAAAAGGAAAAAATACTAAGATTCCAATCATCATTTTTCTGGCAGAGATGATTTTCTGTGCCTTTCTCATGCAGCAGCCCTGTACTGGATCTATGTTATATTCTCACCCTTCTTTCTTTGGGAATTTTCCCCTCTGCTTCAAGCTTTGCACGTGCCTGCCTCCTCTTCAGGATTCGATGATACTGCTTAGCATTTACATAGAGGGGCTCTTCTTCAAGCATCTCTGCTCCAGGCAAAGGTATTCGCTGGATAGCTGGTACTGATCCAGCTCCAGGTACCATCTGTACAGAGAAGAATGGTTTTACAACTTTTACTTTAGAATGAAAAGGGAATGCAGAAATACACTTTTTGAAGTGTTTGCGATGGAATGGGCTTGTTTTGTCTTCAGTTAATGTGCCAGTTTAAACTGAAAGGAGTAATAAAGTCATTCTCAAACTGCAGGACAAATTTAAATAAATCAATGACATGCCATTTGTACTTCTTTCTCTGTGATAATGGTTAAAATTTCAATACAATACACAATTCTATGACTATGTTATTGCATCTTGTCTAATTTGCATGCAGGACATGCCCATCACTTCCCCTTCTTTTAGGCTATGACTTATTTAATTTATATGATAATTTCAGAGCGTTTCTTAAGCAATTATTACTCATAGAGCTGCTGACATCTAGTGGAGATGAACAATAAAGTTCAAGTTGAAAGGCATCAAACTACAAAGACATAAGAACTGGCAGAAAAAAATTCTAAGAATCAGAAAAACAAATACTAAGGAATTCTCAAGAAATGCAATAGCCGATTCAATCTTTTTAAATGGCTGCTTATCAGCTAACAGCTTATTTTGAATTTCAGCTCCTAGATTTTTTAACTCAATCTGCTGTAGCTGAAAGCTACAGCTTTCAGAATACACAGATCACAACAGGACAGTGGTCATTAAAACTAAAAGCTTTCATCCCTTGAACTTCTAACTCCTGTTAGCTACTAAGAAGACTGACCACATTAAGCTGACATGGATCCCAGACAACAACTTAAGCACTGACACCTTACAGCTCTACCTTCAAGTTAAACAGAGAGTTAAATACATACCATAACCATTCCACCTGAATTGACAACATTTCCAGCAACTGGCAGTGTCACTGTAACAGTCCCTTGTCCACTGCTGGTGGTATTGGTGTTGGCTCCTGCTTGCACAATTTGTGCTCCAGCCAAACTGGCTGCTGGAATGGTGATCATGCCTGTAACAGGGACTGTAACTTTAAGAAAATAAAACACAAAAGAAAACAAAACAAACAAAAACACGCACACAGAAAGAAGGGAACACCATTAGTCCCACTTCTGTTTTTCACTCATACACCCTTCCGTAAGGTTTAGAAATGCATTACAAGGTATCAACTAAGCCATACTTTGTATTTTTTGTACCTGCACTGTAATCCCAGCCTCAGGCAAGAGAGCAGGTATTTGAAAGTGCAGAAGGAAATGAGCATTCCTATTCTAACAGTTCTTAGCATGGAAAAAAAAAAAAGGATTTTTCAGTTTTCCTGAAAACAAATACAAACATCTCTTCTTCCATTTGCTGTGCCATTGCATCACAACAGTCACAGCACTACCAACCAGCACTGCAACTCACGGGTTGCATTGACAGCCATTAGAAGGCAATGAAAACCTATAAAATGGACTTTGTGAAGTCCCAGCTTTTTGCACCAGAGCTCATACCTTGTTGGAGAATGGTTCCATCAGCATTAACGGGCTGATAGACTATGGTCTGCCCTTCAGCCGTTTGTGCTACTTGTTGTCCTTGAACTGCTATTTGTTGCTGAGTCTAAACAAAACAAAGAACAGAGGAACTTTAAAAATTGCTTCTTTCTCAAATTTCACAGTTCCTGAATTAATACACAGTGCTCATGGCATTTCAGGCATGTATTTCTTTTGCTTTATTACTAGCATAAAGAAATAGGATGGAGTACAAACCAACTGAACTGAAGGTAAAACACCTGAAGCACGTATAATAAACTTTTTCTAATACTGCTGTATTTAACATTCAGAGAAACAAGTTCCAGTTTCCTATCTCATTATCAGTACATTAAATTCTGGTCCTAACAACAACAACAAAAAAAACAGCAGAAAACCCAGGTATGACTGGACTACTGCACAAAATGGCGCAAGGATGACATTAGCAATACTTATGTTTTCAAATTGCAACAGATAGACAAAAACAGCCATGAACCAATATACAGAAACACGATGGATAAGAACATGCAGTCTATTTATTCTGTCCCAGGGTTACATATGAAACACTACAACAATATTAATTTTATTTTCAAGTTCTCCTCCACATTAATATTTTTTTCCCTTTTTACTTAACCATATCTTAAGTCATTTGCCAAGTTTCTCTTCCTGTTCCTCTCAAGAAAACCCTTTCATGCTGGTGCAGTTACCTGTGTCTGGCCAGCAGTAACTGCAGTCTGTGGCTGCTGTATAATGATCTGCTGGGTCTGGCCCTGCTGCCCCTGTACCTGTACAGCCTGCCCACCTTGAATCTGAATCTGACCTGGCTGGACCAACTGAATCTGTGGAAGAAAGAGTCAGAAAGGAACATTAACTATGCCTCTTATTTCTCCCTCCTTGGCCTCAGCATTACCAGATCATCTGAGGATGATTTATTGCTGCAAAGAAAAAAAAAAAAAGAAAAAAGAAAAAAAAACACTGATACTTCTCTTTTTTCTATTTTATAATGAAGAGTTTTAAATTGCTCTTCCTTGTGACACAGCAGTCACTGATAGAACAACAGTCAGGAACGTACAGAATAGAGGAAATGTAACATGTAACATGCCAGTGTCGTCATGTTCTAGCAGCTCTCCACTGCTTACACAGTAAAACAATCAGAAGAAATAAATTCACACAGAACTAGGAATACTACTCAGGTCAAAGAAACGAGGAGTAAGATTTAAGATATCTGCAGAGCGTTAATCATCCAGCATACAAAAGTACTCAGGACACAAATAAAAATGTCATAGCTTTGTGAAATCTTTCCACCAATTTGGAACATTTTTTTTAGATTAAAAAAAAGAGAAACTGGGATATGGTTTGCAGCTTCTGCTTTAGAACGCAGTTACAGACCTTCCTCAACAACCACAGCATAAAGAACCTATGATAAAAAATATTGTCTTTCAGCCAAGGAGTTTGAATTCAGTAACTAAATAAACCTCTCAAGACACCACCACCACCACCACCACCACATGCCTTCCTGGACTGTGCAGAACGTCATTCCCAGATCTCATTCTCTAATCACTACAACGCTTCCAACATGCTGCTCTCAGCAGTTCTTCCCTTATTTCTGAGGAACACGCTTTGAGCGCCTGAAATTTAAAAACTGTCGTTTAAATAATTCATAGCAATTGCTTCCAATAAAATCATCACGTATCCTTCCACAATATTATTTTATTTGCAACGGAAATGTTGAAATCCACCTGCTGCCATCACATGTAAGATGAACTCAAGCACAAGAATTATTTTCAAGATTTCTTTTTTTTAAAGAATTCAAGTGTGTTCTAATGAACTTGGAAGGTTTTCACTACCCCTTAAAATACAAAAGCCCGATATGAAGTTATTTTAGATCCACTCTTGAATACACAGTTCACTGTGGCAGATCCATAGCCATCATTGCCCAGGCCATTCTAACAGTGCTGAAGTGAACAGGCTCTATCTGACAAGGCAGGAACACAGCAGTTCATTCTCTGCAATTTATCTCTAATGAAATCAGGGATATCTCACCTGCTGCAGTCCTTGCGTTCCAGAAACAGGGACCTGCATGATTGTCTGGCCCTGGCCCCCAGGCACAGCCTGCACCATGATGGGCTGGCCAGTCGATGTGATCAGCTGCCCTCCGCTCACCTGCACCATTAATGGCTGCCCCTGGACCTGGGGAACAGGAGAAAAAACAAACAGAACAATGAAAAAGTCTGGTGGTGTGAAACCAGAAACTGAAGTGGATACCACGCATGGCTAACTGCTTACCTATCTCAATGCAATGACCAGCCAGAGAACTGAGTCACTTCAGTCACAGCAAGAGTCACTGTACTGGGCTCACAATCAGTACCAAATACCTTTAGTTTCTACAGCTCTCTCCATGCTGCTCTGCTGGATTTTGTAAATTATCTTTTCCTGCTGCACTCTAACCAATAAAGCATAAAAGCTGGGTAAGTTTTCTAGACACTGTAACTATGTTCATGCACAGCCCAAGAGCAAAGTGTAATAAAAGAAACTTCATTAACTACATCGCTACTAATCTTTTACTGAGGCTCCTAATGAGAAAAAGCTCAAAGTAAGCCATTCTGGCAGAGAGATTCTGCAGCAGCTTCACTCTCCAATTACATGCTTACAACATTTCCATTTCCTAACCAATATATAGCTTGTGATATTCTCAGAGAATTTTTTCACGGCTATTAAGTGAAATTATTAATGTAACAGCACAAAATGCAGCCCAGTAAGGAAGAGTGACAGCAAATGAGCTGCAGACATTTCTTGGACAAAAACTTATTGCAGACTTCCAAATTACACATAAAGGTCACTGCAATTGGTCACTAGGAAAAAGCTTGCTGAAAGAAAAGGCAAGGAGGGAAACTCCCCATTTAAACTTTATTACCTTTTAAGTCTCCAAACTCTCCCAAATGTATCTTTGAAAAGACTACAGAAAGCCACACCTCCACAGCTGGAATGTGAGATGAATCTTTTGAACTGGGTAATTACTCCTAACCATGCTCCAAGTTGTTTACAAGCCAGAACAACGTGACAAAAAAATCAGAGTTCTTGGGTTTTCTAGCAGTAAAATTCAAGACTAGGCAGTAGCAAACATTCACTCTTTAGGCACTTTCACTGTAGAGCACCAGACTAAGTATCAGCACGGATTTTCAACACATTTCACTTAAAAAACCCAACAACTTCTCTTTGCATAGTTCAAATACCCTAGTGAACTACATGTTAACACATAAACAGACTCAACCACAGTTGTATCCCAGGGATCAACACCTTAAATAGAACACGGTAGCTTTACAGGTCACCTGATCCCCTTGCCACATTGATCCATTCATTCCTCAACCTTGTAGCTATCACACAGAAGTCACTGACAAAATGGGCAGTGCGTGTTTTGAGTTACCAGAGATAAAAGCATGCTCGTGTCAGCCAGAGAAGCACAGGCAGCAGTACTATATCCAACAGGCAGAAAGTAAAATGTACATTCCAGGATTCTTGTTAATGCATTAAGGCAAGCAAAGGAAAAAAAGAAAAAAAAAAAAAGAAAAGTGGGGAGAAGTAGGAGATCACAGTGATCCAAGCAATTCAAGTCAGCCAGCTTTTCATACTTGAACTCCAAACATAAAAAATGCTGTGTTCAACTTGACACCTGGCAAGACCATTCAAACCTGAAGCAAAACCAAAATACGAAGTGAGCAATGCACTGCTAAACTGCTACAGCTGCCCAGGGCTCATCAACTCCTTCACAAATTTCCTACATGAGCTAATGAGATGACAGACGTATTTGCACAGCCCAGAATATTTCACGCTGAAGTAAATCAGGGCTTGAAATGACCATGCATTTCTTTCCAATTTCGGTTGTGTGTGCTGTTAGGAAACACACATCTGAGTTTCCCTGCAATGTATATACACAGGCAAGAAATGAGCTATCGCAGTCCTGCAGGAGCTAATACTGTTCCCAGGTAGCTTTTCCAATTACAGATAAAAAAAAGTTTCTCTCTTCATGCTGGTGGGTCACCCCCTACCTCAGTGTCTCTCTTTCATGTAGGAAAAAAACCTGCAGAACTACTCACAGCGAGTATCAGAAATGTAATCTTGGAAGTACAGAAAATCTTTAAGCTTTATCTCTTTTAAGTTGTGTCTCTCGACTTCATTATCTTGGTGGGTTTCTTCCCTTTCGACTCCCATTTCATCCACTATTTGCTTTCTGAATTACAACAGCTGGAATTCATGAATACACCTGTGATCCAATGAAAAGCTATAACCTCACTCTCTTCATGGGAAGCCTCACATAAAGCACACAGTGTCGGCCAACAATTTTCCTGTCCCTATTTCAAACCCTGTAAAAAACACAGCATTAGATATGTGGTGATGGGGAGAGTCATGCAGTGCTCACAAACACAATTAGAGAGGTCACCACTACCTGGAGGGTCTGGACTTGCTGGCCTGAGGCGGATGCCACCTGGGCCTCAGTCTGCAGCTGGACAGCTGTGACACCACCCTGCTGCTGGGAACAGGAACAGGAAGAGCTTGAAACACGGAAATGCACAGCTCACACAAGAGACAACCACACTTTGCTGAAGAGGATGAATTTTAAAATAATTCATATACGCTGCTCTTGGAACATATGGAATGTGATTTAACAGATCTAAGAATGGAATACTGGCAAACCTGTGCATCATACTGGTCAGCTTCAACATTCCAAATAAAAGTCAGTTACAAAGAATGTGAGAGGTCATTTTACAGAAATTAAAATCTCTGCTTCGCTGCTTTAGGTTGCTGCCTATCTGCTAAATGTTTCCTTTCACTAGTCAAACTTCTTGTGAAAGGCTTTCAAAATTATGATTTGTTTGCTACAATAAAGACCACACAATCCTTTCTGCACAGAAGAGCAGCACAGCAGACTAAGAGTTCATCTGTGTCATCCCTGCATCAGTGTCTTCCCACCACTGACCTTGAAGGATGATCTCAAGATGTTGCAAGAGCAGTTAAATCTAAAAGCCTCATCTATCTTTAGCTTCCTTAGTAAGAGTCCCAAAATAATCAATGTTAACTGTGTTAGCATTTTGAGAGACGAAGGACAGTCTCTCCTGAAAGCTGTACAACTGGCTTCTTCAAGAGAAAAAAGCACTTAGAAAAACACTTCATGTGCAGCACATTACTGTGTTTGAGAGCATGTACTAAAAATGAAAGAGGCCAGTGGATGTTTTTACCTCTATTACTTAGAAGATACCAATCAAATCAAATACCTTTAGTTACCTGCTGGAATCAGGTATTTTTGATAATTCTTAATTTGTCATCTTCTAATTCCAATTACCATCTTATTCTTACTGAAAAAAATAAAACAACTACATTCAGTGGAAGGAGCTGCTGCCAGTCATCAAGCACTCCAACAGGCTGATGGCAAAGCAGTGTGTCCCATTGAACACATAATCCAGCATCTCAATCATGTACATGACAAACTAAGACACACTTCTTGCCTTGAACAAAGACGCAACCGAAGTAGTTCAGCAGCAGCACAGCTCCTCTGTAAGTGCATTACTCAATGTGAGTGAATGAAACTTTACACTGAAAACCTGTAAGCCTTAAAACCAAACCAAAACCAGCCAAAGAGCCTGCATGTTCTAATACATAAACTAGAATCTTCTTTCTGGAATGGATGAACTCATCCAAAGTTACATGGTTGCTTGGTTTGGGGTTTTTTTGTTTGTTTGTTTGTTTGTTTTGCCATTCTTGTGCTCATTTTGATGCATCCGAGGTAAAAATTTAAAGGATTTCAATACATATTTCTTCTGTATTGTTTCCTGCAGTTCCAGAGGATGTTAGTTTCCTCAAATCACCACCAGAATGTAAACTCCCTATTCCTCTGGAATTAAAACTAGTATTCCATTAACAAAGGTATTTTTTATAAACCTATTTACTGTGATTTCAACAAGACGATACCACCGCTGTAGTGACAGAACTCAGGTAAATTCAGAGGGGACCACAGAGCATCTCGCTGATTCTGTGCAACTGTGAAGGTCTGTAACCCACCAACAGCAGCTCACCCACTGCAATTCCCCATACCTGCTGCTGAATCTGCCCCGCCTGCACAACGATCTGCTCCGTGGAACTGTTACTGTTGGCTGTGTACTGCTCCATAGTGCTTCAGTTCAACGCTGCCCAAGGCACAGCACAGTCTGTGTAACTGGCAAGAAAAGAGGGAAAAAAAAACCCATGTGATTATTGTCCCAAAGTTTGAAAGTTGTTGCAGCTCAAAAGCAAAGCACCTGCTAATGTGGAGGTGGTGTCTTGTGCACACTCAGACTAATGGCCATGGTTTAACTGCAGACCTTCCTCTTTTGTAATGTTGCCTTACTTTACAACAGAAAACAAGGGTTGGGTGTGAACTGGATATTGAGACTTAAAACCAAGTGAAACAGCTTCTCTTTCCCCAACTACACAACAGTCCCTCCTTATCTCTCTTCCTTTCTTACATATATTTTGACAAGACAGCAGATCTCATTTCTTGGACCCTTGCCTAGAGATGTGAAGAACATGCTATTCAAACAAAATACTTTGTTCCATTACCTCCTTCTCCCTCACATCATCCACAAAGGAATTCTTACTCTTACTTTTAATGAGATATCCGATTTACCCCGTGACTGTTACACTGCTGAAAAGGCAGCACATAACTTTCACAACCAACAAAAAGCAACAGTTTTCAAGAAAAAAATATATACAGACTGTAGTCCCAATTTCCACTACCTGGAAGAGTTGCTGTGCTTATGGCTGTAACACTGCTCAAACTTCCTGCCCTTTCACTTTACAACATCCTTTCTGCTTCAGTGTCATTTATCCAACAGCTCTCCCTACATCACCTTCTCCCTGTAAGCTAAAAAACACACAATTATTTACCACATTTATCGCTGATTTCTTTTAGCATTAACATCACTGTGCACCAAGATGGACCACAGGCAAGTCTTATTACAAGAGACATGATACCCAGCCATAATAATGTAAGGACTGGGACTTTGGTTCAGAATTTTGATGCAATGATACTAACCCTGGAAGTCACAATGATAACCTGAGTTATCACAGCAAAGGAAAGCCCTGCACTCTAATGCAATATCAGCTCCATACGTGGCTCATTTAGCAATAGCTTCTCACTTGCCTTCCAGAAGAGAAGATGCTTTTTTCTTTTTTCCTCCAGATGATGCTGCCTATCAAAGTTTCCATTTGAATTCTGCACAGTATATTTAATTTCTGCCCTCGCTGCCTGTGGGTCTACCATGAAGCAGCCCATTCTGCAGGGAAGCTGCTCAGTAATAAGCACAGGACACCACTGAGTTCTATTTGCAAAAAGATCCCAGGATTTCTTAACACCAAATCAGAAATTAAAGGATACTTGTATTTAAAAATGCTTTCTCTCAGATCCTTTGTGTCAGGCCTGTCTCTATAACATAAGATAGCACTGCAGTCCCAATTCAGGTGCACAGGCTGTGGCTGGAGCTGAAGTTTCTCATGTGCAGGATCACAGCCCTCCAAGGGATTACTTCATTTCCTTCATTGAAACAAAACAGCACCACTGTTACTGTATCAAAGCTGAATTTTAAAGCTCTGCCTTCGCCTTCAGTAGGCGCTCCTCCCACAGCTGATCTCACTTGTCAGCTCCTGCTCAGCAACTGCCTGCACCGAAAATGATTTAAGAGCTCCGTGTTACCGTGCACTCATGTACAGAACCACAGAATGGCCTGGGTTGAAAAGGACCACAACGATCATCCGGTTTCAACTCCCTGCTACGGGCAGGGTCACCAACCAGCAGAGCGGGCTGCCCAGAGCCACATCCAGCCTGGCCCTGAATGCCCGCAGGGCACGTGTGCATACAGATACGAGGGTACCGAACCTACAGCAACCGCTCCCTCAGCCAATTACCTGCACCAAGAACCACTCAGCACCAAAGCAGCACTATAAAGGTGCTGCACGCTGACGTTCAGCCCTCGGAAGGCCTCGGGGCACGGGCGCAGCACGGAGCCGCAGGCGGGACGCGCCGACATCGCCCGGCCACGTGTCAGGGCCGCGCAGCGACGGACGGCGCTCCAGCAGCGGTGCTCAAAGCGCAGCGCAGCGGCGCGAGGCCGCCGCCATTTGGCGTCCAGGTGCGTTGTGGCCCCGCTGCCCGAGCCCGGCGGGGGGGCGGCGGCGGCGGGGGGAGGGGGAGGAGGAGGAGGGGCAGCGCTGCCCGCGGCCCATCTGTCAGCGGGGCGGCGGGGAGGCGGCAGGAGGTTCGCTCGCCCGCCCCGCTCCCCCCGCTCGAGGGCGGGGCGCTGCCGGCCGCCGTCCCCGCAGCCCCGCGCCGGCAGCGCCGCGTCCCCGCCGGGTTCGGGCCGGCACGGCTTCCCTCCATCGCTCCCCCCTCGGCCTCGCGCTTCCCGGCGCGCCCCACCGGAGCTCCTCTCCTCGCACGGCCCGCTCGCCCCCGGCCCCTCTCCGCTCGAGGCCGCCGCCGCGCCCCGCGCCCCGTCCCTTCGGCGCCCCGTCCCCTCGGCTCCCCCGGCTGCGGCCGGCCGGCCCCGGCCCTGCGATCGGCCTCCTGACTGGTCACTCGGCCCCGCCAATCCCGGCGCTGGGGCCGGCGCTCGGGGGCTCCATATTGGCTGCTCGCACTCACCGTGCCTCGCTCCCCCGGTTCGGGTCCCGCGCTGATTGGCTCCGCTACCGGCCCCCGAAACCCAATCAGCGCCTCCACTCAGCCGCCGCGCAAAATGGCGCCCAACCCCGAACAAAGACAGGGGAGTGGGCGGGCGCAGGCGGCGCGTGCGCAGGCGGCTCTCGCTCCGGATGTCCCCGCCTGCCTCGTCGCGGCCCTCGGCGCCAGGCACCGCCCACCCGCGGCCTGCCCGGCTGCGGCGACTGCGCCTGCGCCCTAGGGAGCGCGCGCGCCTCGCGGGGCCGCCGACGCCGGCAATGCGCACGCGCAGCTGCGGTTCCGCCCTTATCCCGTCACGTGTTCTGTAGATCCCGCCTCTGAGCATCTCGCGCATGCGCTTTCGCGGCTGTAGGTTGGCCTTCGGAATGTTCTCGGCGGGTACCATAGAGACGGCGTTCCTCCAGCCTGCCTAGAGGGGCTGGCTAGCGAGCGGGTGGCGGCGGCCATTTTCACGTGATGCTGGGAGTGCCGTAGTGGAGGTGACGGAGCGGGCCGAGCGATGCGGGCTGTGCTGGGCAGGCTCGCTACGCTCGCAGCGGTGCCGGTCCGGGCCCGGCAGTCCGTTCTTCACGTCGTGCCCGCGGGTGGGCTCTGCTGAGGGGTGTCCTGAAGCGGGCAGGGGTGGCCTGGAGGAGAGCACGAGGCCTGTGGGTTCTGGCTCCGTTGGGCTGGGCCAGCTCGTGGGCTGGAGCTGTGGGACGGCCGCGCTCTGCTCGGGGCGATGCTGCCCTTTGTCGTTTTCTCCCCCGCAGCGGGGCTTTGTCCTCTGGAAGCGTGCTGGGTGAAGGCTCAGCCTCGTGCCCTCAGCCACGCTGCCCCATTCCCTTCTGAGGTTCCTATTAACGCTGTTCTTGTTTCTGTCGTCTTTCCAGCCACAGAAGCCTTCACCGTAGCCCGCCTTACCATGGCCACCCACAGCCCGGAGCAGGGCGAGCGAGTGCGTAGGAAATGGGTTATATGGGCTGCTGCTGTGTGGTGTGCGCTGAGACGTTCCTGCCTGATAAGAGCACCTGATTGCACCACACAACTTGTGGGGCTTTACTGGCTGATAATAAAGCTACTTCTTGCTATTTCTCCTGTGCTTGTATCAGTGATGCAGTTTTCTTGCATCAGCACAGAGTTCAGGTGTTTAAGTGCCTGGGAGCGTGGAGCTGTGGCACGTGGTGTGCTGTAGATGTGCACTGGGCTAAAGTTACTTTGCGTTATGTATTCTACCTTTCTCAGTTTTGGTTATGTAAAGTGAGCTGGTGTGTTTCTCATATCTGATCCTGTAGAAAATATATTATTGTTACATTGAGTTTATAATCTGCATCTTAAACAGGCTACAGACCTGTACAGAGTGTTCTGTTATCATGGCCAGCACTCCAAGATTTCACACTTCTGCTTGCTTTCTAGATCAAGTGTGTAAAGGGAGACCTGTTTTCCTGCCCCCCAACAGACGCATTGGCTCATTGCATCAGTGAGGACTGTCGTATGGGTGCAGGGATAGCTGTTCTTTTTAAGAAAAAGTTTGGAGGCGTCCAAGAGCTGTTAGATCAACGTGAGTAATTTTGTGTATTCGTGGGAATTTAAGGACTAACAGACTTCCAGCTTGAAGGTCCCTACTAGGGGTTCAGGGTCAATTGCGTAGTAGACTGTAACTGTTCCTAAAATACCACCTTCTTCCCTTTAGAAAAGAAGACTGGGGAGGTGGCAGTTCTCCAGCGAGATGACCGGTATATTTATTACCTGGTAAGAGTAGAGGATGATTCAAGTGCTCCCCTGTAACAAAGCTGTATTACATATTACGATGACAGCTCTAATCATTTTGAGTACTTTCTCTTAAGTAAGTGAGATGTATTACTCAAGTCTTCCTGCTGAGGAGAAGCCAAGCTCTCTTGTGTGTGTTTATTTATACTTATAAGTTCACAGAACTAGCTGCCAAATTATACTATTTCAAGCAATGAAACACAGTTCTTTTTCCAAGTCTCTTTCCCTTCTCTGAGTGTTGCGACTCAGGGTGTAGAGGAGTGTGTTGGAGGGAGGAGGGGGGAGGGGGGGAGTTTGCAGTGATAATGACAAAATTATAACTGTTTTTTTGCTTAGATTACAAAGAAGAAAGTTTCTCACAAACCAACATACGAGGACATGCGGAAGAGTTTAGAAGCCATGAAAACTCACTGCTTAAACAATGGAGTTACTGATATTTCCATGCCCAAGTAAGAAAATTAGTGCTGTGTAAATAACTCAGTGTTACTTGGGTAGGAGGATGTTTTTGAGAGATCATCTCCTACTCTGAGAGTTCGATATCATCTTGACTGTAACTCTTCTGATCCGTTGTATAAATGAAGCTTGTGTTCCCTTGTGGGTTTAAGTGATAAAAGTACATTCAGGTTTGGTTATTTCTGTATTTTAACTGTATTGACTTACGGTGAGTTAAGTTAGTGCCTGAAGGGCTTGTTATTCACTGCATACTCCAAAAGAGCTCATTATAATTGTTTTGATGTTTTATTTTCCAGAATTGGGTGTGGACTGGACCGCCTGGATTGGGATAAAGTTTCAGCAATACTTGGGGAAGTGTTTGAAGATACAGATATAAAGATCACTGTTTATACTCTCTGAGCAAAAGAGTCTCATTTCCCTGGCTTTCAGCAGTGGCAACTTCTTAACTGATGAGGGGGAAAACTGCATGCTGAGCACATTCAAAGAAAATAAAAAGATCAAAAGTCTCAGAGCAGCTAATTTGGGACGTAGTATTCAGGGAACCTGTGTTGAAAGCAGGGATATTGTAACTCAGGGAGTTCCCAGTCTGTCACAGCAAGCCACCAGATGTCACTAGTCCTCCACAGAGCACCTACCTGCACTGGAGCTTCTTACAGGCTGGCAGTTCCTGTGCAGTGAAATTGGAGCTGTCTAATGCTTAGATATTTGTTGTTCTGGTTCATAATGATGACCTGTGGAGCCCTGTCTATTTTTATTTTCCAGGATTTGCAGTGTCCATATATAGCATACGTATTCTCTGCAGGATTAAAAATTAGTTTTTGTATCTTTTGGACACGAGCACTTTTTTTAAAATGGTATTGTACACAAGAAGAATTGTGCTGTCAACGTGCAGTTAATAGTTCTTCAGTACTTTGCTGTCAGATCAGAGTACAGTCCTTGCAAACAATGTCTGTATGTGTTGCGGCTGTAGACAATAGGAGGGAAGCAGAGTTTTGGGAGGGAATGCTGGAGACTTACAAAGACACCTAGTGGGTGTGTTCTGTATGATGTGATTGGTATCATATGCAGTCCTCAGTTTTCTGAGAATCCTGAAATATGGATGACTGACACGGTGTTAAAGAAAAAAAATACTATGGAGGCTAAGATTTTTTTGTATGTTTATTGTTTCGCTTAACTGTGTTTGGAGTTTGGCTGGTATATGTTATTTGATGTCACCAAATGTAAAAATCAGTGACAGCTTGTTAGGCCATTGCTGAACGCTTGATTTTGGGAAGTTTGGTTCCAGTACTGAACAACTAACACATTTCCTTTATGTTTGATTTTTACCCTATGTCCTGTAATACCAAATTTTTTTTTTTTTTTACTTCTGTCACACTGAATGCTCACAGAAATGCCAGAAATATTGAATAAACCGAATAGATGGGACAACTGAGAAGTTGTTAGTGTGAAATAAGTTTTTTACTTACTCCTTGCTACTTATTAAATGTACGGAGCCATTCCTGTTCTGAGCTTCATGGGTGAATCTGTATTGTGTGTTTTCTTTGCTGATGGAGATGTGCAAATTCTGTTTGTGTCTTTAAGAACTACATACTGTTTTCCTTCATGGTTTGACTATCTTCTGCTTCTTGGTTTTGGTGGATAATTGCTGTAGCCAAATACACAGCTGTGAGAAATAAACTCGAGTGAGACAAAGGAACTTGGAGTATTGAGTTAATTAAGAGTGAACATCAGGACTGTTCCTTGATTTAGCCCTTGGGCTTATATATTTGTTTTCGAAATCTAGTGGCAAAGGAATGAAAGCCACAGAAGCCACAGTGTCTACCCAAAGGTGTTTTTATTGCTGCTTGGGGTTTTTGTTTGTTTGCTTTGGAAGGTAATACCAGAATATTTTGTATTTATGCATGTTTAGCGCCTTTCAAATTTGTGACAATGCAGCAATCAACATCCAGAAGTAGTTGGAAGGAGGAGCCATTTCTGACTCCATTTCTTAGTTGGTGTGCTGCTCTGTCACCTCCATTTGTTCTGTGCCTCGTTTTATATGGAAAGTATCATCCCATATTTTCTCTCTTTCTGTGCATCTCTGCAATTGTGCATTCTCTTGAAACTCTCTGGTATCTGGTAGCTCTCTCTTCTGATCATGCTGTGCTCCAGATATGAGTTTCATATCTCACGTGTGGGTGTCCCACAGTGTCTCACCCGTCAGATTAATTTTAGGACCTCTTTGAAATAGAGAACAGATGACACTGCTTTACTCTTTTTTCAGCGGGCTCCAATTTTATTTCTTTTGCTTAGCCCAGGTTTATATCACAGACATACTGAACAAGGGGAAAGTTGTATCTGATGCATTTGAAATCAAGTATTTAGGGCTCCATTATAACTGTAGAATTAAGAAATTCACTGTAACTTAAATTGCAGTTACTATTATTGAGGAGGACAGAGGAATAGAACTTTATTTATCTTTTTAATATTGATGAAGCATACTTTTTGTAGGTAAGTTTATCAAATCAGCAGCTTTTCTCTACAGTCTTTTATCTCCAAGTAATCCTGGTATGCAAGGCCTACACTCATTCCTGTTGCTCCACTGCAATGCATTTCGTTCAAGGCTTTAACCACACAGCTCAGTGCCTTTTCCTGTCAGCAATGACAACGTAGTTTTGTTTCAGGGGGAGTGGGGTGAATGGAGAAGGACAACAAAAAAAATGTACCATAAGATTCCAAACACTAAATATGTTGTACACATATTTGTCGTCCATCAGGGCCTAAAATTCCAGAAGCTGGCACTGCATCTGCTGGATTCAAAGCTTTGGGAAGCAGGTGTGTCCCGGATGTCCAAGTCTGTTGTGTCTCTGTGTCGATTTTTCCTGAGATGGGCCTGGAGGGAAGGGAGAGGAACATGTTAGAAGCTTCAAATGCTTTTGTGTTTTACTGCTTAAATAGGTGAGTCTTCAGTACCCCATAAAAAGGATCGTGCTGTCATAACTGGTTGCTTTTAGTAGTGTGGCATTGTTTTGGTTTTTGTTCTGGGTGTGGGGGGGAACTGCATTTTCTGTATGTTCTTTAGTTCTTTCACATGCGTCCTAGATATCATACATGCAGGGAATAGTGAGGTGTTCTTGTTACACCTTGTGATCCTACCTTTTAATTATTTTTTTCCTCACAGTGAACACCTCCTGGGGAAAAATATTTCTAAGTACCTTCAGCATCTGCTGTGAAGGAGCCAACTGTATCATTACTACCTTTGAAGGGAGAAGGTACTGTCTAGGATAATATTCAGGTACTGCCAGGTGCAGCTGGGTACACAGGGAATAGTAGTAAATGAAAATGATTGCATGTTATGCCGTTAACAACCTGAAGAAAAAGAGAAGTCTAAAACTAATACAGGGAGCCAGGTGAGCAAATAGAAATCCTCACTCACGTGAGCTTCACTGCAGAATCTCAGCCAACTTTTCCTCATAGTACTGGAAGTTCTCTTGAATGTCCTCCCATGGCACGAAAGCCTTTGCTTCCTCTCCTTCTTCCTGTTCCACAAAGTTCTGCCAGACGTACTCAAAGTCTTGAGGCTTCATAATCCTCAGCTTGCAGCCAGCAGACTTCATTTTTTTCAGGGCAGCCTGCATTTCTGGCTCTTCCCACATGAAGAGGCGTCCTACCATGATCGTCAGACGCAGGTTCTTGTTCTTCCTTAGGGTCTCACTGATCCGATCGGCGCAGGTCACGCAGGGGCTGGAGGAGACGTACCAGGTGATGTTGTAGCGGAGGCTCGATTCACACTTTGGCAAAATCGTGTTAAAGAAAGCAATTTCTGCATGGGAGGCTGCGTGCTCATCTTCCAGGTAACCCCGGGAAGTCGTCGACTCTTTGCCTTGGGTCTCTACAACATAACACAGGAAGGTTTTGTTCCTGCCTGAGCTGTATTCCACGTTCCTGAACTGGAACTTGAAAAATATGGCTGGGAGGCGTTCCCTGCGGAAAGTAGAGAGGAGAGAAGCATCTCAGAAAGCAGATAATAAAGGGTTATAGCACTGGCTTAGTTCCTGTGTGATCGTGGACCAGTTGCGCCATCCACCATGATTCTCTTTTGCTATCTATTAAAAGGAGATCCCTGCCAAGAAAGGCTAAAAATGCATTAAACATCACTGGATAATCAATTACTGTGTAGTGAGGCTTCCAGACCCATTTTCAACACTTAGTCTTTTTCACTTTGATATGTGGTAGTACGGAGCTTTCCTGGTCGCTCCCTGTAGCACTTAACTGGAGCATGTAGTACAAGAATTGTGCTTGAAGAATGTTGAAAAGATGAAGGATGCTGCTGACAATGTGCCCTGCGACCTGCTAAATACTACTAAGGATGATGGCTGCATAGAGTAGCCAAAGCAAAATAACAAAAAGCAGCACAACATTTTGTTTCTTAAATGCTAGTAATCTTCCAGAGTCTTGTACTCCTCTCAACAGAGCTTTAGGTGGACCTATAACCTTGCTATTCCCACTGAAGCTATAATCAATCTTTGTAAAACACTAAGTGTCTTATTCATCTCTTGTCTACAGTTACGTTATAATGTCAGATCTCTCCAGGGGTGCAATGAGCAAAGGTCAGGACAGCTTCTCAAACTCCTAGAAATATTAATTGGGGAGAGCAGTGAGGCTGCAGGAGCAGGTGACAGAGTGTTGTTCTGCTGAGAGGAAAGAATTTGTGATGCAATGTGGCACAAGGTATCCAGAGATGGTGGAAATAAATGGCATGGAAAAGAATGAATGGACTCAAAATCAGTATGCTGTTCTCAGTTTGTAGAAAGTGAATCGCTGTCAGCTTGCTAGTGGGGAATCCTGGCTTGGGCCGTGCTGAGAATGTGGGATGGTTGCAAGCCAGGAATAAGAACTGTTCCATGAAGGGCTTGAATTTGATATATATAATCAGCAGGTGTCTTCCTATAGACTGTAATGGAAAAGGTCTCACTTTGAGGTAGGGCTGCACGAAATGCCCAAAGTAGCATGATACTCTGCTTATCAGATTGGAATGGGAGCAGCTCAACAGAAAGTATGGTGTAACAGAGTCCATCATGTAACCTGGCTGCAAGAGCTGCAGCATGGGCTGCAGGACTTCTGCATGGAAAAGGATTGCAGTTGGTGTGCTGTCTCAATACATAACAGTAAATTATAGCTGCAATCAAGCTTTAGCCACATTGCTCTAAATGTTTAAATACGTTTTTCTGTCTCTGTTTAATTCCACTTAGAAACTTCCAGAAACTTCTCACTGCTGTGCACGTATTCAGTCCTCACACAGCCTGAGGTTTCCTTGCTGCCAAAGTCCTGTGGCATTTTTGGCTTTTGAGGAAATGGAAACATAAAAGAACGCTGTCCCTGCAGAATGTTTGCTGGTACTCCAGCAGGACAACGGGTCTGGTTGGTCCTGCAGTGCACATTTGCAGTGAAAGGCCTGGATTTACAGCTCACACTTCTGGTTTGGGTTTCCCAACAGTGTGATTTTACAGACGAGTGACTTCTCTTGGAATAGCAGTGTGCTGCACGAGCCAAATAGTGTGAGAGTTGATACGGTTAGGTTGGCACAGTTGTGCTTTGTGCTAGGAGAAGAAGATTGTTATTCTTCAGGATGCAGTGAGATGGATGAGTCGAAACAGCATTGTGCATAGAACAGCAGCTACACCAGGAATGTCTGTTGGTGCTGTCAGTCAAAGAGTACCCTAATTCTTTTTGCATGTCATTGATTTATATAACAATGCATGTTGAGAGTGCAAGTCTGGCTTCAGAAGTTTTATTAGAAGCAGATTTTCTGCTGCTTTCTAAACTATATTATTAAACGCTTACGTTATTCGGTCCCGTTTAGATGAAGTCTATCCAAGCTGGGATTTAATAGCAAAGCCTGTCTGGGGCCTTCTCTGTTAGCACTGTCTTAGCTGGAGGTGTGTTCATGAGGGATGGTCGGCAGTAGTGTGGATACAGGCTTTTGTTTTGGTTACTGAGCAAACAGATCATGCTGGTGTGGTGTGATTTGGTCTGTGGTTCTCTGGGTTGTGCTGAGTGCTTGCACTGGTGTGCATGAGTTCTTCTCTACCCAGAAAAGCTTCTGTGAGTCCTCTAAATTAAGGGAACAGAGGGAAAACACTAAGAAATTGAAGTTAAGGTTACCTGTTAGAGCTAGTCTCATTTTCCTTGTGTTATAAGACCTCTGGTGTCACTAAACAGCATCATCAGGCTATTTCAGCAAAGCACCTCTTATTCCACAAACTCCATTTGTTGTCTTTGAGCTAAGAAGAGTTTACATCCTTCTGAGACCAGCACTTTTCCTGCTTTCTGTCCTAATAATAATAAATGATTCTTCAGATAATGATTTAATGATTCCTTAATTCAGGTTTTCTTTGAAAGCCCAGCCATGCTGAGTGCAACAAGCTGCAGGTTGCCTCGTGTCAAAGACAAGTTTGTGTGGGTACAAGAAGTTGTTCTAAGGTAACGTCATGTGTTTAAATGTGTCACATCAGAGCCGCAGGTGTTAGTTAATTCCTGATTTAACTCTCCTGGCTGCAGAGCGGTGACATCAGAGATGAAATTAAGCATGTATGTTTTGATGAGCAGTTTAAACAGCAGTGATCTGTTCCAGGATGCGTTGACTCACTGTGTGTTTAATCAGACCTTCTAGACAGATCTCTGCGCTTATCATCCTGGCATCCATCTGAGATTATCTGGGATGTTCACCTCAATCTGTCCTAGCAGCATGGAATGTGCATTGGCTTAATGAATAGGTTTCCAATAAAGAATGTAAACAAAGCCAAGGGCTTTTTCCAAGTCTAAGTAATTGGCTGAGAGCATGGAAAACTTGCTGATCGTGGATTCGGAGGCAACCAGTAGACTGTTTGCTAGTTAGCAAGGATCTCCTTAATCCCATGTAAACCAGAGGAGGGAGGGCACTTCAGCACAAGTGTGAATTGTAAACACCAGTCCTCAGGAGGCTCAGTTGTGTACTTGCTGAGACTTCCCAGCAGCTGGGACTTGGGCAAGGTGTCTCTGGTCCTCTGAGTAACTGGGAAGTCCCACAGCAAGGGGTGCAGCAGTGAAAGAACAGGAAGAGCACCCACGTGTGCCATAGGATTGCGTGCGTGCTTGGATGCTGTCTGCTGCTTTCCCTCCCGTCTGAGTTAGAGTGTTTGGCAGATGACCCAAGATGAAGTGAGGTACCATGATGGTGTTGTTTATTTGCGTAGATTAAAACACTCCACAAGTGACTGATAATCAAAATACATCCCTAAGAAAGATTTGTCATCTGCTATGAAAGCACAGCCTACTTCTTTGGACACTGAGATCTAGCTTTGTGTCTGTTCCTGAGTATATCACTAATTCTTGGCAAGCCTGTTTTCCCATGATTTAATGGCAGGTGATGTACAAATGTTAACATTATCCATATTCCACCCTTTTTGGTTTTCTAAGATTAGGAAAACAGAATGCCAACAAAATGTACCAAGATGAGATCCATTCTCTTATTTCTTATACCAGACCCGGTATTGCTGTAGGTGTTAAATACAACAATTGTCTTGCCTTGCATATAACTGTAAATTTATTAAAATACACAAATAGCATCTATTTTGGTGACTAGGCTGACAGCTTTTCTGCTTTCTTTCGTTTTGCAAATAGAGAAGCCATTTTCTCACCATTTCCCTCTCCAATAAAGGCACAATGTTTAGGACCTGCATGTGAGCTTTGTGCCTATGGAAGGGGTGGGCTGGGGGGGCTTTGAGGTCTGAAGTTTTTGCTGCTTTTTGCCAACTATTTCCAAATAAACACTCATGCTCATCGATGATAGAAAGTCTGTAATGATCAGCTGTAACAGAAACCAAGAGTTTATCACCTCCTGCTAGAAGGAGCCTCATTTACACTCTAGGTAATGTGTAAATAAATACATCCACTTAAATGTCGTGAAAAATACACAGCAGGAGCTTACATTTATCCAGGGCTGTATTGAGCCAAATGCTGACAAAAAGTGAGGGTGGGGGGAAGTTAATATTCTTAAACAGATTGATCGGTTTCCCAACATCTTTTGTGTATGCCAGGCTCTGCTATGAGCCTCAGCTTGAAAACTTGGCTGTGTGTCAGAAGATGCCCTTAATCCAAGGGCTGAAACTGAAATTCTTGAATAGTAGGCAGTGTAATTGAATTTAAGTGCTTGCACAGTGGCAGTTGCTTTCTCATAATTCGCATAGCTGGCTTTATTGGCTGAAAAACTGTAAGTAATTAGGAAATCTGAACAGTGGTGAGAGCAGGTTGAGGCACAGCCTGCAGTGACAGGTCCTTCCCAAAATGAGAGTAAAGATTGCTGGATTTTTCTGTACATCTTTCTGGGTCCTCTGGGATTTCTGCTTCGCTTCCTCATTCTCACCTTTAACACCCAGTACATCAGCCATAAACTAATAATCAGGGGATACCAGGCCACGAGCGATGCAAGAATTCTCCGGATAGCTTTAAACAGTTTCCAAATAGTATTGTAATGAGCACGGTATAAATACCCATAGTGACAGCTCTGTGGTCCCTCACCAAATAGCTGAGTACTTTCACTTCAGGAATTTCACCTCTTGTCTTGCTTGGTATCAACGTACAGAAAGAAGATGGGTGCTACCAGCTTCATGTACACAGATAGCAGAGCATGGATTTTAACTCATTCCTAGAAAAGCTTTACCCAAGGTAATCCAATCAATGATTTCAGAGCATATGCATTCCTCCCTCCAGAGGGACATAACCCACTTGTGTGGGATGAAACCTCATGCATGGCTTTCAGAAGTGCCAACCGAACACAGTTTGCAGCATCTCTCTTATTGCTGACCACTTCCCAGGCAGCAACCTTCCTAGTGGGTTCTGCAGTCTGCTCTGAGGTTTGCATTGCAGCAGCTAAGAGAAATCATGGGTTTGGTTTATGCACTGGGAACACTGCCTTGGTGACTTCAGGGGAGACCAGAGGGAAGAACTATACAGGGCATCTTTATACCAGAGCAACGACCATTTCTAAGTGCTTGGAGAGAACAGATTACACTTTTTTTAGCGGTTGTCAGCAATGTCTGACGAGTTCAACTTCCTAGCAAGATCTGTTGTATCTCCTCTTTCAAAGGCCAGGCTCCCTGCAACAAAAGGAGCTGTGTGCTGCTTTGCTGGCTTGAAAACCACCTCTTGTTTTGGTGCCTATCCACGAGCAGGGCTTCTCCGAGTGCCCAATTCCAGATGCAAGCTCTTGAAAGATACATACCTTAGGTATGTAAAGCAAATCAGCCATGACAGGGCTATTCTTCCTAACACACAGATAGAGAAACTTTCAGACAAGAGCCATTGATTACGCCAGGAAATCGATACTCAGTTCACCAAGGACCTCCCGTCGGGCAGCGATCCCGGTGCACTCAGCAGGACTCCATGCAATGCAAAAGGACTGCTGAACTCTATGGAAACAGCCCTACTTGTGTAAAAACAAATGGATTTGACTGCCTGCCTGCACGGGGTGAGTCTGTCTGCTCCAAAACATGTTGAAACTTAACAAAATCCCACAGCAATGAAAGCCATACTTAAACCCTTTAAGAACACCGAGAAGTGCACGACTTCAGATACTGCCTTTAGTTACCCAACATCTGAGCTGAGGGAGAAACCTCTGAAGATGCCCATGTCAGTCTCATGCACCCACTGCATAGTGAGCCCCCTTACCCTGTCACGATTTCAAACGGAGGCAGGTCTTCCCTCTTCACCTTCTTCTTCTTTTTCCCCTCGCCCTCCTCTGCGTTGTCGGGTTCACCATTCTGGGTGTTGCTGGGCTCCTCCTGCTTTTCTGCCATCTTCTCAGCTATAGGGACAGTCAGTTACAGCCACTGGGAAAAAGAGTAATTTCAGAAAGCTCAGGGGGGAGGGAAAAAACAGAGCTGGGAGTTCCTGCACCAGAGACAGTTGTCGGGGGCTAAATATGGAACAAAGCAGTGATAGAGGCTGGATGGGGTTGGGTGTCCCGGGCTCTCAGCTTTCCTTCCCCAGCTTTTGCTACGTCTTTTTAACAATCCCCCACGCTCCTTTTTTAATTTAAAATTAAGTGACGACTTCGTGGTGGGCGGGTTAAGCAATGGGTGGAAAATCCTGGAAGCCTAAGGATCTATTTATCCGTGACTATGACAGATAGCTGGCAAGGTGCAGAGCTGGCAGGTTCTCCATTTACCTTCCATTTGCCAGTTTATTATTTTGCTGACCTTGAAGGACCACTGTTTTGGCTCAGAGGGGAGAGGGGCAATCCCCATTTGGTTTGCTGGAAAATCCCCATTGTTGTGGGTTTGGCCTTGTGGGCCACCTGGAGTGCCCAGAGCAAGAAATCGCCTTTCCTTCCCCCCTGCTCTTCCAGGAGAATGAAATCCCAAATTTGAGCTTGTTGAAGTTAGTGTTACAGATGGTGTCGGTGGAAATTCAAGCCAGAGGTTTATTCCAGATGTTTTGAAGTCAGGCTGATAATTCACAGTGGGTATTTCAGGTGCAGCACAGTTCCAATTCCATGTGCTGAGCACATTGTTCTCTATTTTTTCTCTTCTTTGGCTGAATATTTAAAAAATGCTTAGCACACCAGGAGTGATAACACTGCTAGATAAGAGTAGGGATTTTGAGAATCTATTGCCTTAGAGATTCTTGCAGCTTTCCTTTGTTTGTTTCCCCTTTGCTTCTGCAGGGGATGCAGATGTTGGATGAGTGATTGCACAGGAGCCAAAGAATCAGACAGGCTGTCTGTGGAGCTGTGATGATAAACGTGTGTGCAGACCTGGAGGTGAGGCAGCACTTACTGGGGCTGCTGAGAGCTGTGTGCCAAGGACAGAGCACTTGGAGGCATTCTGGTAAAGTACTTATTGTGATTGCACCAAACTACTGTGGGTGTGGAATCTGTCCTTCATAAAAGAAATGAGAAGGACTATAAAGATTTTATTGACACAAGCTTAGGGTGTTTGCTTTGCTCAGCAGTATATCAAGCAGATCTCTCAAAGAGGCTGCGGTGGCTTGGAAGGTTACTCAGGGTTTGTCTGGGCTTCACATAAGCTCTAAAAAGGGGTTTGTACATTCAGATTGGGAGGATTCTCTCTCCAGAAATGCAGAATGATGTGAAATTCTTCTCACAGCTTAATCAAAGTTTGTGTCAATCCCATGTGAGCCAAGCCTGATGAAAACCTCAGCACGCCTTTCTCAGGGAAACTCTTCTGTGACATGGAGGTGAATGGGAGGTGTGTAGTGACAGAACTCAAGTTTTAGCCAAAGCACGCTGGAAATCAAACCTCCAGTATCCTGGGTTCTGCACCTACTTCAGAGCCCACTGTCATGACTTAGATGAAGCTGAAATGTTGTGCTATATCTGATTCAGGCTGTTAGTGGGAAACCACTGTGACAGGCTGTTCTGTGTAGGAATCAGAGATGTGTGAGTACCTGCTTTCAGGTCACACTCATGGTGCCCCGTAGCCAGCTCTCCTACAGCTTTAGTTTGTGCACCACCACAAAGTGATAAACTTATGCTGCTAGGCAGATAATTTGCCTTCTGGCTGCTTTTTCAAGCCCCTAGCTAGCTTGGCTTTCTGCACTGTGAGAATCACAATACCTTTTGTAGTTCTTCATTAATAGCATCACTGAAATGTGTTGTGGGGGCAGGGACACCACCCACCCCTTCACTCCTTCTCTGTTTGGTAGTGATGAGAAAGTTGTTTATGTGATGACTGGCATGGAGAGTTTTGTGACAACAGTGCAGCGAAGGATTTGAGACATTCCAAGACATCCTATCCGTGGAACATATATTTTCCTGGTGCAAAATTTTATTTATTTTTAAGCTGGAAATACTTTCCTGGAGAGCAGGTGTAGTGTTTTTCCTCTTGCCTGGTGACTATGCTCAAATTCCAACTCCCCTGTCCAGTTACCCTCACCTCTGACATTTTGGGAGTGTTTTTGGGGATGGGGATCCTCTCTTAATGAGTGACAGGTTCTCTCTGTCTTCCCCCTGTATGCTAAAAAGCACCCTCCTTCACTCTGACCCACTTTTCTTTTTTTATTTTTGGAAGCTCTTGACTGTTAAGGTCCCATCTTTCCTGCAGCCTTAGCTTTCACTGGCCTGGCCCCTCTGCAGAGTTCAGGGCTGAGCTCCTATCTAATCTCTGGAATGTGGCACCGAGACTCTACCTCTATCCAGCCCTACCCCAGCTGCTTCACAGCTCCATCTAGGGCAGTGCACTAAATAGTCACGATCCACCCCCCTGCAGAGTCTGCCTGTGCCAAAAATATAAAGGGACACCACCGAGTTGCTGTCGAGCTGACATTTTGCATTAGAGCCTTAGGAATGAAAGCTTTGATCGGTTGTATTCAGTTGTTTTTAAATGACCCTAATTCCCCTGAAGTGTGTGCGTGAGTCCAGGAGCATCCGTGCACGGGGCTAATGGCTGGAGCCAGTAATGGAATTCTTTCCCCATCAGGTGGTACAGAGTAGGAGCGAGGGCTCAGCGCTGGAGGATGCAGCCATCCTCATGCCAGGACCTCCAGCAGCACTTAGGTTAGCTCAAATCATTGCAGCAGGCGTTGTTACTGAGGCTTCCTTCACCCTTCCCCTCTCCGTCACTTCATGCTTTATTCAGTAGCCTGTGAAGCTCTGAGAGCCCTGCGCAGCAGAATGGCTATTTGGCCACAGAAGCACAGGAGATCTGCACGCACCTCAAAGCTCACACAGCAGGGCTGGGAGCAGAGGCTAAATCCTCCCCTTAAATCCTGCTCACCTCCAGCAGAACCCTGTGGCCTCTCCCTGCTGGATGCAGTCGGTAGGTAAGGACTGCTCCCACTTCAGTAAATCTGCAGCAGCTGCACTTCACTTGCGGGGAAAAGCGGAGCGACTCGACCCTGTGCTGCAGAACCACACGGGCCCTTCAGCTGCTTCCCCCTCAGCAGCACAAACCCAAGCTGTGGTTTCCTGCCTAAGCCCATTCTCCATCCTGTGACAGATGCGTCCCACAGCATCTGGCAGCCTGTCCCCCTGTGTTTTAAAAGGTCTGGCTTCACCGTCTTGGGGCATCGAGGCCAGAATGCCTGATCAGAGCTGTGAATGAAGGGGAGGAATAGACCTCAAAGCACTGACCCTGCCGTAGGACTTGAAGAGCTGTCTGCAGTGGGAGAGCTGCCGGCAGGGCACAGCCAGCAAGGGAAGGCTGAGCTCTGTTCTGGAGGCTGCACTCTGGCTTGGCTCATGTCTCAGGTATTAAGATCTGATCGTGGGTCCCTCCAAATGCAGAGCACTTTTTCCACTGATTTTAGAGACATGTGGGAACAATCTGATTTTTTTTTTTTTTCCCCTTCTCATCTTGAATGAGTGTCTGACAAGGAGAGTGTTGTAATCCCTTGACCTGTCTGCCCAGCAGGTTATCTGCTTGTCCTCTAATTGCAGCCCGAGCTGCTTTACTGCTGTTAAAATGGCTGCTCTGTGCTGATCACAAAGGGGCAGTGGAAGAGACCTGGCAGTGGAAGTCCTTGCCAGGGAAAGGAGGCTTTTATTGCATTCTTGGGCTAGAGGAACATTTCTGGATAGACGCGAGAGTGAAATAAGACACTGGCTGTGTGAGTCATGGCTGAGATGTGCTCTCTATTCCAAAGGGACAGCTGGTGGCAGTAACAAAACATCTCCCTAGATACATTGTCTGGCAGCCATCCCCCTCCTGCTTTTTCCGGCTGTAACTACCGTTACGTGATAAATAAATAAACACTCACTGACAGTGATGTGCAGAGGCAGCTTTCCTTCCTTCAGCCCCTGGAGGCCCTCACCTGTCCCTTTCATTGCGCTGCAGGACAACACTGCCAAGTTTTAAGAGAAGGGGTAGGAAAACACAGGCGTCAGCTGCTGCAAAATCCCACAAGGTTCAATCTGAGCAGCGCCCACATCCCCTCTGGGCAGGACATTAGTTTGCTGTGAAAAGAGCAATACCTCGGCTGAAATGAGCCGTGCTGCAAGCAGAGATAAGAGATGCTCTCACCTCCTTGCTCGCCTTATCTTCACATCTGAACCCTGGACATCCCTGGCCTATGATCCCCAGCACACACACCCACTACTGCTCTCCTGTAGAGCTGAGAAGGAGTGTTACTTGGCAGGCACTGCTGGCTGCCCAATTAATTCAAAGTCCAACTGGAAGTCGATGCCAACTCCAGGCAGCACAACCTCCTTGCTGCTGGGTGCGGTTTCCCTGGGAGCAGCCCCAGCCCTGGGTGCTCAGAGCCCTGGGAACTGATGCTCTGCTCCTCCCAGCGCTAACGAGGGGGCTGTGGGAGGGCTGCTGGCCTGTCATCAGCTCGCTGGAGTTTACACACAGCAGCAAATTCTTTCTAACATTTCACTCTCTATTTTAACATAGCTCCAGACACCAGCGAGTCAATTTAAGTTCCTCACTGCTGAAGCCAGAGTGTTTTCTGGAACAGCTAGTAAATTATTGAATGAGGCAAGGGTTGGGGAAAGGGGCTGGGTGGAAAGGCGCAGAAAGATTTTATTTATGGACAAATATTGCGTATCCAGCAGGCAGAGGATGTGCCCTTTGGGCTAAGATTGGTTTGGTATTGAATATGCCTTTCTGGACAGACTGTCCGAAGTCTGGAGAGAGGGATCATCCCTGGACATGGAGATCTGAGAGGTGGCTCTTCTCTAAATGCCACGACCCTAGGAAAACTGTCACGAATGCATGGCCTTTGTCTGAGTCACTGCTTGAGCCATGTAGACCACGACATGTCCTGCAGTGTGTTATGAATGTTCCCTGACACTGGGGTGGGATATGGTATCCATTCCATAGGCTAATTTAAGGGGCTGGACAAGCACCTTGCATACCCACTGAGGCGATATGGATCCAGCCTGCCGGCTGCCTTTGTTTGTTTTGGCTCAGGCGGAATTCCTCCATGCTCCTTGCAGATGGCCTGGGGAAAAAAGCCCCCGGACAGTGTATGGCAGGGAGGAGAGCCCTGAGCTCACCCACATGGCACCTCCAGTGAAATCCCCGCTTAGACGAAAATTTCACAAGTTTTGCAAGCCAGGTTCCAAGGCATGGTTTGGATTTCTTGCATCTTCCTGGGTTCTCTTTCCCAGATTTGATTTGACTGCAGCCCAGGGCAAGGTCTGCAGGAGGATGCTGTGTTGCCATGTGCTTCTTCCAGCCATCGCGTGGTCAGCAGCACGAGATCCACTGGGCTGCAATAACAGAAAACCAGACTATGAGGACAGGCTGGTTTTGCTCTGCGCTGTGCAACAGAAGAGATTTTCTGGATGGCTGACTTTGAAACATCATTAACGTTATTCTAATGCAGAGGGTTTTAGCATAGTTATTTGAACGGTAAATACACTAAATGATGCTTTAAATATTAATACAAGAGGGTGCTTTGCTGAATCTAAGTTTGTCAATTGATTTCTAGCAATTGTATGTATGACACATAGGAGCACTTGCTGCAAGAAACTGCAAGCATCAGGGAAGCCATTGGTGCGTGTATAGCCACCTATGGACTGGAAGGGAGAACTGAAATAAAGACAAGAAGTCAGCTGGTCACAGCAGCTGTGAAAATGGGGAAGGCAAATATGAAAAGTTCATAAAAGTCAATTACATTTAATTCAAGATATTACTTTAAGAGGAAAAAAAAAATTAGGGAGAAGGGAGAAGAGGAGTAATTCTGAAGAATGTTCAAATAGGTGTCCGGGTATTTAATTTGGATGTGTTATTAAACATTGCAGTTTTGTACCAATTCAAGAGCAATTTACCAACCTACGTGTCATTTAAATAATATTTTTCCTCTTTTCAGAAGCACGGAGCACTGTCAGGACTTGCCTTATCCCTCCTGGCTGCACTAGATGGCTCTGCTCTGCTCTGCACCTCCTGGCTGTTCCGTGCTGACGAGGGGAGGATAGGCATAATGGTGTTCAGATGTCCTGAATCATTCCTAACTCCACTGAATTGAATCTCCAGCCCAGATATTACTTTCTTTTTAGGGAGAAATAATTTATGTCCTCCTGTCCTTTGGCACATGGAGGATGCATTGCTGTAAATAAGGTGAGGAACATGCAGTTATATAAAGCCCAGAAATACATAGCTGTTGTTTTGTTTTGTTTTAATTGGCTTATGATCTTTCTACTGCTGCTTGCAGTGTTCAGTGCTTTATAGCCCTACAATCACATCTGCTGAATGGCCTGCTCTCACGCAGCTTTTACTCAAGAGATTACAGCAGACTGCTTGCAGCAGCAGTCCTGAGTGAAGGTGTCCTTCAGCTGCAATGGAAAAAATGGATGGGATCAAAATGACAGAACGAGGTACACGGCCAGATCTTCAAAAAGTTCCACAAATGTTGTCTGTGCTCAGCTACTTTCTTTGTTTCCCTTGGGCTTATCACGCCATGCTGAGCACCCAGCTCTTCCATTTACAGTTGTTGGGCACAAGAACATTCAGCCCATTTGCCCTTAAAACGTGCTCAGGAATGAGGCTGGCTTCAGCTCTGCTGCTGATCCCCTTCTTTTGAGGGCCTGAGCACAGCCTATGGACTCCAGAAGGGATCCTTTGAGTTTTTCAGATCCCTTTTGCAAACCTAATGCCAAACCAGTGAAACAAGAATAACTTGCATTTATTTATTCTCCATTTTATTGCAAGCAAATACAATTTATTTTACATTCCTGAACCTTTGCAAATAAACCCACACACCTTAATCTACAGTCAGCTGCCAGAAAGAAGATTCCCTTACACTTTTCCTCCCATAAATTACTTCTATTGATTAAAAAAATAATAGTAAATATTTTGTAGAATGCAACATTTTTGAGGTTCAGATCGAAGATCTGTCAGTGCAAGAGCCAGAATAAAGGGTGGACAAGGCTTCTCCATTCTCCTTTCATGTCTGGCTCTGTGGCATGGCTTGGTGCTGTTTCTCTGGGGATGCTCTTATTTTAGCCTTTCCTGAGGAATAATATTCAGGGAATGGAAATACTGTGAGATGAGATACCTGTAATTACAACTTTCAGAGCAGTGTCAGCAAGTTTTTACATTTTAAAGAAGAATCTTGTGTTTCTGTACTTAAACAAACCAACATTTTAAGGGCTTTCTGTCTGTTTTTGTGTCCTCTCACCCACCCAAGGCATTGATGTCAGCCTTCTGGTGAGGAATAGCACACAAAGGTGGAATTGAGATATTTTCTCTTGGGACAAGCACTTGCATTCTAATCATTGCTGCTTTATCTTGGAGCAACACACTCAACAAGTGCAGAGCTCCACAAATAGAAGTCAACGTGCCCAGTTTCTTTCTGCAGCAGAGCAAGACAGATTACTGCCTGCTCAAGGACTGATACATAAGAATTTAATGGTATAAAGCATAAACCAGGTGATACATGAAAATGAAGCAACAGCAAGAATAGCAAAAATTTGTTCTTAAAAAAATGGGTGTGCATCAGTGGAGGGCATTTTTATTTGGTCCAGAAGAGATGGGATTTACCACGTGTGAACAGTTTCTGTTCTGAGGGAATGGGAGCAGGACAGAAGGAGGCCCTGGGCTGCTACTCTGAACTTCACTGGTATCATTGATCCTAATTTGGCTCGTGCAGTTTGACCTGATAGCAGTAAGGTCTCCATACTGCTGTAGCCCCAAGACCTCAGCAGTGTTGGAAAGAAAGTTCCCAAAGAAGCGTGATTGCTCTACAAAAGCACACAGGTATCTGGTGGAAACCTCTCCTTTATACAGCCACAATGAAGGTGGGAGGAGGAGGTGTGTTCTGCCTATCCAAAAGTAAGCCCCAGAAATTATTAGATCTTGGCGTGGTTTCGTTTCACAAAATGCCTTCATTTCGTTCCTGCTCTTATTCGCTCTTTCCTGTCTTTTGCTCAGGGTTGTCCTTCCAGATGCGGATGGTCAGGCAGGTTGCCATGGCCAGCCAGCCCAGGTAGGGCAGCATCAGCAGCGCTGCCACCTTGTTGATGCGGTACCAGGAGCACACGGTGCCGATGGCCAGGCTGTCCAAGCACAGGATGTCGATCAGCGCCTGCAGAGCAGAGAGAGGAAAATTACTTCTGTTCTTCCTTTTGGAAACATACAGCTAAAGGTCACCATAGAATGGCCCAGGCTGGAAGGGACCTCAAGGATTGTGAAGCTCCAACCCCCTGCCACAGGTCTGGCCACCAACCTCCCCATTTAATACCAGCCCAGGCTGCCCAGGACCCCATCCAACCTGGCCTTGAGCACCTCCAGGGGTGGACGGGGCATCCACAGCTGTGGAGATTGTGAGAAGGAATAGAAATCAGGGAGATTTCACACTGAGGATTCAGGTAGGCTGATCCTGAGCCCTAAGACCTCGGCTCTGAACTCACATGGGTGAGACCAAACCAGGAGTGAGGAGCAGCGCTGCTGTTTTGTTTGTTATCAAGTTTCACAGATTAATACACTGCTTGGTGGCCCTTCTACTGATAATGCCTGTGTAGGTGGATCAGAAACGTGCTCATCAGTACCAATGGCTGCTATCACTTGAACTTCCTAAATGTACATTTCATCAGCAGGGTGACAAAGCTGAGGTGAAAACAGGCATCCCACTCTGTGCCTCTGATCTTCAGGCAAATGCTTCTTGAGCACAGCACACGTCCACGATGTCGTACCTTCATGCATATCCTCCAAAAGGCTCTGCTGTGCACATCGTGTTGTGCTGTACTGCTTGATAAGCGCAGCTCCTGTCCCTCCCCCCAGGGATGCTGCTCTGCTGCTTTGGGCAGGGTGTGTCCCTCAGAAGGGCTTATCTGTCACCCCGAGTCCTTAACAGGGAGATGCAACAGCTGGGCCATTGACTTTTGAATCTCCCGCCATGCTGTGGCTATCAGAGGGACAGGAGCAGGGTGAGGAGTGGAAGGGGCTGATACCATTCTCTAGAGCCAGGTGCAGCATTAATCGTATCAGAGCAAAAACTCTTCCTGCAGCTCTCTTTACAGTTGCACAATGCTAGGTAGAAACTCTCCAAACGAGCCCAAAACACCCAGCAGGGTCTCCAGGATACGTTACCATCTTCAGATTACGTGCACCAAAGAAGAAGGGAGGCCAAGCCCAGTTCAAGGCCAGCTGAGCCCCATAGAGGCCAAGCGGGATGATGGCTTTGCTGCTGCAGCCACCCAGGTCATTCCAAATCAGGTAGGAGGCGTAGCTGTGAAGAGGGAAACTCGTTAGTGCTCTGCTGTCCCACAGTGAGCGAATCCATAATGTAGGCAAACTCCTCACGTGGAAGATTGTCCTGCAGCAGGGGTTTGCATGACTGCTGTGTCTGCACAGCTGCTGTGTCTGTGCCCCTGGCTGCTCTCAGTCCTCTCGTCTCCCACACCTGCGTGGCTCACAGGATTTCCCCAGGGCAGCAGTTGTTATTGGTGTCCTGTCATGGTGCTGAGGGTGGGCTGTGCACAGCCTGGAGCATAAAGCTGAGCAACTCAGCTCAGAAGGCAGCTCAGTTTCATAGAATCATAGAATCCTAGAATGGCCTGGGTTGAAAAGGAGCACGATCCAGTTCCAACCCCCTGCTGTGTGCAGGGTCACCAACCAGCAAACCAGGCTGCCCAGAGCCACATCCAGCCTTGGATGCCTGCAGGGATGGGGCATCCACAGCCTCCTTGGGCAACCTGTTCCAGTGCATCACCACCCTCTGGCTGAAAAAATTCCTCCTCATATCCAACCTAAACCTCCCCTGTCTCCGTTTAAGACCATTCTCTCTCATCCTATCACTATCCGCCCTCTTAAACAGCCGTTCCCCTTCCTGTTTATATGCCCCTTTCAAGTACTGGAAGGCCAATACCTGGGAATTCCCATAGCTGGGAATCAGCACACCTGCCCTGCCCTGCTGACCCAGGGAAAGGGGATATTAAGGCAAACTGAAGAGTTTGAAATGATTGCACCAGAAAAAGCGTGAGGAGATGGGGGGGCTGTGCAGAACTTACCCCATCCCGGTGTACAGGACGGTCCAAGCAACGGGGAACATTTTGCGGGGTGGGCACCATGAGGGCTTTTTCAGCTTCTCGTACCAAACAGGAGTGTCTTTCCTATTGACGAACCAGCCGAGGAAACCCCCGACGTGAGGCAGGACAGTAAAACCTACGGTGTAAGCCCACATCCTTCCCTGGTGACGCGCAGTGGTCTTTTGCCTATTGCAGCTTAAAAACAGCAATTGATCATCAGTTTGGAAATCATTTTTTCTTGCTTTGATCTTTTTTTGCTCATTTCCTACACTCCGCTTTAGTGGGTAAGTGTTTAATTTGTATTCAGCATTGCTACCGACTCCCCTCTGCCCGGTCTATGAAGGAGGGGTAATTATTTCTGCCGTGGTTACATTTTCCCCTTGATCTATGAAGTAGAGTGGCTCCCGCATTATTTTCTGGGCTCTTACGAGCTCTGTGTAGCAGGGTTCACCTGAGGTGGTTATATTCTTAGCAGACAAAGCTTCAGTGACTTTTATCGTTCCTCCCCTGAATGCTGAAGTCAGACAGCACACAGCTGCGTTGCTCTCAGAGCCACACGTCTCGGCAGAGCTGTTATCTCCCCTCTGCATGCTATTCTGAGTATGAGAACCCAGACAGATCATGCCTAGAAAACCCCATCCATGCTGACTTCATCTCATTTTTCGCCATGGATTTGTATTTTAATTGAGGTCCGTAACAAGACAATGTCCTTACAGTAAATTAAATTCTCAGTGAACCCTGTTTAATCCTCCCTACAATCCTAGCAGACAGAAGCAGAATTCTTGCCTCCGTTAGCAGGTAAGCTGAGGCACAGGTTTCTTAGTTTGCTCGCAGTCTAACCATGCCCAGGTTGCATGAAAGGAACAGATATTTAACAATTACATTTTCAACACAAAACAGCTCTGGGAAGGATGGCATCCAGCATTTCATTCCCCTGCTGTTATCCTCAGGAGGGCTGTGAACCCGACAGCCTCGTGCCCTTCCTCCATCTGTCTGTGTTCGCCTTCGCTTTGCTCCATTAAGGAATTAGAGCTGAATTAGCATTCATTGGAGATAACAGGATTCTCCAGGAGCACAGCAGCTCGGTGCTGTCAGCAGAAGCACATAATGCACCTGAGCAGATGCACTTGGGAAGATTGCTTTTAGCAGTGCAAGGAGAGAGAAGGAGGCACACAAGCATCCCTGGTGCTCGGAGCACAGGTGGGGGATGCAGGGAGCAGAAGGGCAGGACCAATCTGCTCATCTGTGCAGCATTCTGACTCACCATCAACGCTTTGCTATTGCCTGTGCTAATGGTTATTATTATCATCATCACGCTGCAGAGCTTTCCTCCTTAGAAGCTCACACCAGCCAGGCTGTATGTCAGTAAGGAACAAATGCCCCCGACGCCGTCTGTCACCAACAATCCCTTCACCAGACAATTTATAGCACCATTAACGTGTGTCTGGAAGGAGAGAACCGAGCAGGCAGAAGCAAGCTGTTGCTCCTGCTTTTGAAGTGTAAACCAGCACCAGCCAGGCTGCCCCGAGACGCTGCAGAAGGGCTGTGGGCAGCGCGGCGTCGTTTGGGTTTCTCACTTTGCTTCCATAGGGTTTGAGCCATAAAGCCTTACCGTCTCTCACCGCCCGTCTGTGCCGTGCAAAGGAGAACGGTCGGACATCCGAGTGCCTGTGCTGCTGCTGCTGCTCCCGTGCAAGGAGGGGAACGGCCGTTGAGTTTTGCCCAAATAGCAGAGAAAAGGGGTGTGTGCGCATCGCTGCGTGGGTCAGATTACACAGAGCCCACGTTGGGGCCCTGCGTGCATGGCCTGGCCCTGGGGCTGACACTGCAGTGATGCTCGGGGTGATGTGTGGGGCAGAGCACGGTGCTGTGCCAAAGCATAAAGCCTGTGGTGCAGATGAGCTGCGTGAGAGACATGGATGAGGATCAGGCCCGTGGTAGCATGAAGTCTGGGGTGTTGCAGGGATATGAGGTACACCGATGTATTCCAACTGGGGATCTCAGGTTGGGCTCCTGTGGGCAGGAGGAGCTGCTGTGCCTGCAGGGAACCTCTGCCTTTGCTGTTGCTGGGTGCTGCTGCACAGCTCGCTGGTCACCCTTGGGCTGAAAGTCACCGAGAAGCACTTGGATCTGAAATAAAGACGTGAGAGGAGCATGTTAAATGGAAAAGGAAAAAGCTAGAAATCAATTTCCATTAGTAAGCTGTCTGCGAGGGATGGGGAATTAAACACTAATTTACTTCAGTTATGGGTCATTACCTGAATTCCATGGCCAGGAGCAGGATTGCTGGTTCCTGGCAGAATGCAGTATTATGCTGTAACAGAACCACTGAGAGCTGCTGTTTTATTGGGCTCCGAAGAAAATTTTTCAGGGGGAGGGGAGGAGAAAAGAAAAAAAACTCCAACAACCCACATGGCAGGGGGTTAGATTTTCAGCCAGCATAAATCAACACGGTGCTGTTGAGAAAGTGTTTGTACAGCATCATTACTGCTCTGAAATAACAGATGCAACACGCGTTCGTCAAGCAGCAGTCTGCTGCACATCCCAACAGGCTGCTGCTACTTGCATGTGGGAGCTCATGGCATGCTGCAAGGAGATAGGCCACAGCACAGCACTGAGCAGCCCCAGTGCTCCCAGTGCTCCCAGTGCTGGTGTGGGGTGGTGACAGCACAGTCACAGCAAATGCTGGGGCAGTTGGTAGCTGGAAGCAGTTGGGCTGGAGCACAGATCTCCGTTGCCTTTCTGCTTGGCACAAGGCAGTGGAATCCCCTGACTATTTTGGAGTATATTATGCTGAAAGCATTATTAAAAGTTAGGTGTCAAATCATGAAGGTCTTGGTAATTCTGTGAGGTTGGGGATGATAGGTGATGACAGTAGAAGAGCGAATGCAAAGAGGGAAAAAATAGCACTGTGAGTGATGTATCAGCCTTACCTGAGCTTCAGAGCAAAGAAGAGGGTAATGGTAATGAACAGATTTGCCCTGGATCACAGCAGACTGGCTCATGGCAGGGATGTCACAGCCTGGGGTGGGGATACCCACTGCTCTGGGCTTCTGAACAGTGTCTGCTATGGAGTGAATCAGCTGATGATTAAGTCAGTGGTTTCAGATTGTAGAATCCTAGAATGGCCTGGGTTGAAAAGGAGCACAATGCTCATCCAGCTCCAACGCCCTGCTATATGCAGGGTCACCAACCAGCAGACCAGGCTGCCCAGAGCCACATCCAGCCTGGCCTTGAATGCCTGCAGGGATGGGGCATCCACAACCTCCTTGGGCAGCCTGATGCAGCCTGGGCACACACAGACCCAGCATGGGAGTGCACAGCACTGCAGGAGGAACAAGGCTGGCTGTGAACTGGGCAGCCTTCCTTTGGCACAGAAGCGTTTCTCCTTTCTTACCCAGATTTATGTCCCAATAATTCTACTTTGAGTCACATTACCTCATCCTGTATTACTGTAAAATTACCTCTTAGTAAAATCATTGCTATATTACATCTCGCTATGCTTCTGTATATTAAAGTAATAGTATTATTGGATTTTAGATCACTGTTGTATCACTGCAATATGTTTTCATGAGAGAGGGGACATAGGAGAGCAGAGTTACACAACCATGTTTGTTTTCCTCTTCTTAGCAACCTTCTCACGTTGTCCCAAGAGGTTTCCATTCTATGCAAGATTAATTGCCCAAATATAAAAGCCCCGTTAACCTGAATATATTATCGAAAAACAGCATATTTCAATCTGCCCTAGTTTTGAAAATAGAGATGCCAGGTCAGCTCCTGGCATAAATCTGCAATGCTCCACCAGGTCGGCAGAGCTTCTCTGATTTACACCAGCAATAAAGCCGGGCTGCTGTGTCTGCTGTGCTGAGACTGAGAGGCGCTGTGGGGACGGAGTGGCGGCCGGGAAGGGACATTTGTGACAATTGCCACGCTGTGAACAGCTCAGAGCTGCTGGCTTTGGCACTGCAGAGTAAAACATGGGAGTTGGAACGTGATGATGCTCGAGGTCCCTTCCAACCCAAGCCATTCTCCGGTTCTGTGCCCGTTTGTGCATTGAAATGATATTCTGTTAGAAATAGCAACGGTAATAATGATAATCCACTGGTTTTCTTTCTTAGCATTAAAGCACGGTTTTCAGTGTGCCATAAAGCACTGTGTGCCCACGGGCACTGCCTGCTCCTGGTGCCTGCCCACAGCTCACCCTGGGAGCCGCTTTTGCAGTGTAAAACCCCAATGGCTCTCAGCTTGTAAGCCAGAAGGCCGGAGCGAGTTTCAGGGTAAGCTCTCTGTGGTGGGGGGCTCAGCACTGCTCACCCATCAGCAGTGGTGGCAGGGAACTGCTGGATGGGCTGCATCACAGCGATAACCCCTGGCGGAACGGCTCTGCCTTATCTGTGTGCAGAAGTTGCACCTGGCAGTCAAAAAAGCAAACACAGCTCAGCCCCCCGCCTGTTTTATGAGGAGCTTAACGTGGGGACAGGCACAGGACTGCAAGCAATTAAGCTGTGCAGCTTAACAAATTATCGCTCTCTAGCTGAGCCTCGTTAATTAACCACGTGGCACAGACCGAGCCCAGCACCAATGCGACGTACAGCATTCTGCCTTCACCTCCCATGAGCTGCCATTCCTGCTTGGCAGAGCACTGAGATCTGCACAGCTCTGCCCCAGACCCCTGGTGCCACCCCGGTGCGTGGGGGTGGGGTGGGGTGCAGACCCCCAGGGCTCAGCCTCAAGAAGAAAGCTGCAGGAATGGCACAAAGTCACTGCAGGCTGTTGTGTGGTGCTGGGTTAGCAGTTCCCACAGCTCAGCTGCTTCCTTCTGTCTCACTAAGCCATGATCTCAGCCCTGGGATTAGCATCAGGTCGGGGATATCGGGTTTGAAGCCCATCCAGAGGGTTTTGTAACGCCCCAGGAGTGCACTTGGACACCCATCTCAAGGTCTTCCCTACATGTGGACTAATTGAGAAAACCTACTGTAGTTGGGAGCAATGCTCTCACTTAAATCAAATTCACCTCCACGTGCTGCTGTGCCCCACGTTGCTGCCTGGCCCTGAGAAGTACGGGGAGGGGGTTTCCTTGTGGGACCTTCCTGAGGGCTGGGAGCAGCAGCAGTGAGCTGGGGGAGGGCAGTGCTCACTGAGCAGCACCAACACAGCTCACCCAGGGCCCAGAAACACCAACCCAGGGGCAGCGTCTGCTGAGCTGTTCGGGGGCATTAATCAGCCTGCAGAGTTTTTATTGCTGGTGGTTATGCATGAAGAGGAAGGGTAACAGCTGCCTGGAATTTTCAGTTGAAGCCATTTTCCATCCTGATTTATTAATTCGAGGCTTCCACATGACCTGGGAAGAAGCGCTGCCTCTAAATCTGCATTTATTGGCTTTGTTTTTTTTCTCACATAAGGCCAAGATCCAGTTGGCTGAGTCATTGCATCCGAGCATCTCTTGTTTTAACAAAAGTGCCATTTCCAGCCAGAAAACTTCAGCAACTGCTTCTTCTTGATCAAAATGATTTGGCTGAGCATTATGAAACCGTCAAAATGCATCCAAACAGTGCTTTGAGAAGACTTTTGTTGGGAGAACAGCTGCTTTATTCTCTTTATTGCTTCAGTTTTTCACTGAAATAGAAAGTGAAAAGGTGAAAGAACACGGAGACCCAAGGGAACTCATAGCAAAGGGAAAAGAGAGAGACAGATTCTGCAGCAAGTAAAGAAAGAGAAGGCTTGGTAAAGAGAAATAAAAACATTTGGAAGATAGGAGGGATGGCAGCTGGAGAGTGGGAGAAAGGCAGAACCTCTCCTGAGTCACTCCTCTGATGGCTTTTCAGTGGCTTCCTGAGCAGCTGGGGCGTTTCTTCTTGGTGATGCTATGATGGCCTTGCTATGATGGCCCCTCCTAACCTGCAGCATTGGCCATGGTTATCGCAGGCAGCAGTGGAGGTGCCAGCTGGGGATGGGATGGAGCGCAGTGCTTTGCCTGGGGGCAATGCTCTGTGTGTGCCACATAACCACAGAATGGTAGGAGCAGCATGGAACGCCTGGAGATCACCAGGACCCGATCATCTCTGCAGCCTCTCTGCAGCAGCTCCATGTCTGCTGTTACTGGGGAGCCCAGGGCAGAGCAGAGGGGAGCAGCACCGCCTCACCCTGCTGGCTGCGCTCTGTGCCGTGTGCCCCAGGAACACCAGGGCACGCTGACGGCTCGTGGCCACCCTGCTGGCCACCAGGACCCCCAGGTCCTCCTCTGCAGAGCTCCTTCCCAACAGCTCAGCCCCGTACCTGCACTGATATGTGAGGCTGTTCCTCCCCAGGTGTGTAATTCTTGCAAGAAGATTGCAAGGAGGACTTTATCAGTGTCTTGTGCTACTCGTGTGCTGCTGCACAGCTCAGAGGTGGTTACCTGGGCCAGCAGGCTCTGTCCTCTCTCAGCTTTCTGACTTCAGTCCCACTTTGGCAATAGCTAAGCCCACCAACCCCTCAGGTGTAAATCCCCCCAGCCAAGTGCAATCAGCACACTGTGCATGACCTGGGGATCCTGATGGAGGAAAAGCTTAACATGAGCCAGCAGTGTGTGATTACAGCTTGGAAAGCAAATGGGATCCTGGGCTCCATCAGAAGAGGGGTGGCTGGCAGGGACAGGGAGGTGATTGTCCCTCTATGCTCTGCTCTTGTGAGGCCCCATCTGCAGCACTGTGTCCAGATCTGGAGCCCCCAGTACAAGAAAGACACAGAGCTGTTGGAGAGGGTCCAGAGGAGAGGCACAAAGATGGTCAGGGGGCTGCAAAGACAGGCTGAGGGAGCTGGGCTTGTTCAGCCTGGAGAAAAGAAGGCTGCGGGGTGAATCATTGCAGCCTTCAGTACCTAGAGGGAGCCTACAGACAGGAGAGGAGTCAGCTCATGGGAAGGGGAGATAACAGCAGGACAAGGGGAAATGGTTTGAAGTTGAGGCAGGGAAGATTGAGGTTGGATGTCAGGGGGAAGTTCTTTGCTATGAGAGCGGTGAGGTGCTGGAACAGCTGCCCAGAGAGGCTGTGGATGCCCCGTCCATCCCTGGAGGTGTTCAAGGCCAGGTTGGATGGGGCCCTGGGCAGCCTGGGCTGGTATGAAATGAGGAGATTGGTGGCCCTGCATGTGGAAGGGGGGTTGGAGCTTTGTGATCCTTCAGATCCCTTCCAACCTGGGCCATTCTGTGATTCTGTGAGTACATGCCAGGGTCCTTCCCCTGACAATCTGGGAGGCCAAAATGATGCAGGGACATGGTTTGAGCAAATGTAGGAGTGTTTTAGGGTAGAGAGAGCTCTAATTTGGAAAGTGACCTGTATGAACACAGTGCTGTGGTTTGCTCTCCTTCAGTGACTGGAATAGTAAAAACCTGAAATCGCTGCTCCCTTTGTGCTGAACCAGTTCCAACTTTAACAGAAGAGGTTCCTCCTTTTGCAGCAGATATCCATCCCAGAGAGCTGAGTTACTGCAGAATCCCCATGATGAGAAGGGTGAGTCTCAGTGGAGTATCACAGATGTGAAGTCACCATGCCAGATTTCCAGCTCTGAGCCTGTGAGTGCCAGCAGAGCAGAGCACATCCATGCCAGAACCATCCCATCTGCTGGAGCGGTCCCACCTCTGCCCTGCCATCACCACTGCCATGCTCTAGAGCTGTCCTCACTTCAGGTTGCCCACAGGGAAAGCTGGGAGGATTTGGGAACAAGGAGTGAGCAGAAGAGCCCAGCTCTCTTGCTGCCAGTTGTTAGCATGAAAAAATAGAAATTGGCTTAGCAGTTTGCACTGCTGCTGTCGGAGCTGCCTGTGCCAGTTCTCCTCAATCACAGCGTTTTGGTGCATCTCATTCCAGCTGGGAGCTCCAAGCTGCTTCCTTCCCTCTGTGTGCAATGCCAGAGATGGGTGATGAACCAACACAGGAGGTGAGCGGAGGGGACAGGGAAGTAGTGCATCCCTGACAGCACGGTGACACAGCCCAGAGCCTGACCTGATTCTAGAGGTAAGGACTGCTGCAAATGCCAGATCTGGGTTTAGGTTGCCACCAGCACTCAAATTCTGGTCAATTTTATTTGAATGGCCAAAGGCAAATACCTCAATAATATTGTGGCCTTATTATTATTATTATTTTTTTTTTGCTAATTTAATTAGGAGCTTGATCTGGTTTTGGGGCAGGACACAAAGTGGATTATGGGAGCGGTTTGCTCTTTAATTGGGGTCATTTACCCTTTGTTAAAGTTTAACCTTTGCCTGCAGGGCAGCCAGGTCCTGCTGTGTGGCTGGGGATGCTCCAGCCCTGCTTGAATCCCACTGCAAAGCACCAACCAGCAACTGTGTGATATGGCTATATACAGAGAGCAGGAACTGGAGGGTACATGTTTGTTTACACTGCGATGCTTCACCTGCTGCTGGCTGGCCGTGCAGCAAGGCTGAGCCCCCACTCTTTCTGCAGCAATGCATGACCAAAGCCCTTATCTCCTCCCTATGCTCACATATGCATTCCCCAGGATTAATTCTGCAGAAATGAGCATGGCTGGGGCTCAGGCCCTGCAGCCCCTTCTGGTCCCACGTCCTCTTGGCAGATGTCCTGTCCCCATCCCCAGCTCTCAGTGTAACTCACCACCGGTCAGAGGCACAGATTGCAAGGCCAGGCGTGCCAAGGGTGATGGAACTGTCACTGCTCTGCTGATGGACAGACTCATTCACAGCAACGTGGGATGGGGCAGAGCAGCGGATGGGAGCTGTTGAGCCTCTTGGATCCATTGCTAAGCTGGCTGGAAGACAACAGCCACACTGCTCTGCCTGCTGACACAGCAAAGCCATCCCCATGCAGTGCTACAGCAGCCATACATGCCATCACCACGAGCAGTGTGCTTTCTCCATGCACCAGCAGCAGGCAGTGCTGTCTGCCAGCGCTCCCAGCACAGGGCAGGGGCAGCACCTCTGTCTTGTTGGATGTTTCTGGTAGGAACACACGTCTCCTCTTTGCTTGCTGGAGTGTGTTACAGACCTGTTGTAACTGGCAGCTGAGAACGCTGCCACCCTCCTCTGTATCAGATCTTTCTCTTGTGATTTCCAGCCCTCCTTGTTTCTTGAGGTGTGGACGGGTCCTAAATTTTGGGGCAGGACAAGAGCTGCTGAGCAGACAACAGCATGCTGCACCCTGCATCCCTACAGCTGCAGCTCTCAGGGATGGTAAAGCAGGGTTCAGCAGCAGATCCCTCTTCCTTGTGCTGGCAAAGCTGAGAGGAGGCAGCTTTGCTCTCCCTAAACCAGTGGGGAAGCTGAGCCTGGGGCTGAGCATCTCATGCAGATCTGTGCAAGGGAACCTGTAATGCATCCACCAGTACCTCGAGCACCCAGCAAAGAACACCAGAAGGAGTTTGCACTGTGTGTACCATTTTATTTTCAAATATATATATATATATTACATCACTTTAAAACAGAATATTTGTGAAAGGAAAGGATTTTGTGGTAAAAGCAAACCCGCCGTGTCCCATGCAGCCTCTGTGTCTGCAGGCAGCCCCTTCCCCAACTCACCACAGACCCTGCCTGCTCCTTCCTCCCCTCCTGCTGCCAGAGGGGATGCCTCCAGTGCAAGGCACGCTTCGTTGGTCCATGGTGTGCCCTGCTGTGCTGGGAGAGAGCAGGGCTTTCTGCAGGGATGGGAAAAGGAACTGGGGAGCGAGCTGTGAGGAGCACCGTGTGCTTCAAGTATGTGGTGTGTTCTGCAGGAGGGTGAACCGGCCCCAAGCACCAAGGATGCTCTCTGGGGTGGGAGGGCTGGGTGGGGGTTGTGGCTCAGTGCAGGGCTGGGGGAGCTGACCAGCAAAGCTGAAAGCAGCCTCCTCCATCCAGCAGGGAAAACCAGGGTGGTGGGCAGCCTGCCATGCCTTCAGGTACTCAGCCAGAGAGATGTTCTTCGTTCACCCTCTCACCCCCTTGTTACAGACCCATTATAACCTGGATGAAATCCCAGCCCCAAACACACGCTTCTGCTTGAACACAGTTTTCTGCCTGGGCTGTGCTTCCTTGGCACCTCTTCTAGGCACAAAGAGCCCCTCACCAGAAGAACCCCTTTTCCTCCCTACATCCTCCCCATGCAGGGACTCAGCACCTCTCTCTGCAAGCCCTGGGGCGCAGCTCCTCCTGCAGTGACTGCAGCCATCCCACCCCACAGATCAGGGTCTGTCTGCAGAGGGGATGCAGCATTTGGCTTCTGCACAGTGCAGGGCAAGCAAACCAGGCACTGCCACTGCTGAGTGCTGAGCGCTGAGCATCAGAGCTGCTCCTACCTGAAATGCAGGCCCAGCATGGGCTGCTGACAAGCAGCATCCCTGCCCACCAAACCCCAAAGTGATTCAGTCACTTCGCTCACACTCTTTCCTTCCAACTGCCGTGCCCAGGTGAACAACCCTCTCCTTATGAAAGGCCACAGCAGAGCATTCTCACCTTCTGCTTTCATTTCCCACCCACCAGGGGAGGAAGGCAAAATGTGGCAGCCATACCCCATAGCACCACAGCAGCTGGGAAGGTGACAGAAGGAGCATCCACTTTCCACAATGCAAGGTGCCACCTGTGGCTGGTTAAACAAAGCTTATGCTGCTTAAAATGATTCCTCAGCACTAAACGTGCTGACCCAGCCCTTCAGCTGGAGTTATCCTGAGAACCTGCAGGAGCCCAGCAGTTCCTCTGCTGCATGTCAGACTCCCAGCTGAGCACCCAGCAGTGCTTGCTGGCACCCAGCAACAGGACACAGCGCTACAGAGCAGCACCCAGCAGTGCTCCCAGTCCAAGCCTTTCTCTGCTGGGTGCCGGAGGTGAGGAAGGCAAGGAGAGACGAGAGCAGAGGGAGGCAACGTGCTGACATCGTGAGGCAGTCCTCCCTTTAATCCCCTGAGAGAAAAATAAATGGCTAAGAATGGAAACTTCCCTTTGTTCAGCACCGAGGTTAAAAAGTCCCTTCTCAGTTCTGGTATCACAGACTGCATCAAGGCTTGATCATCTACCATAGAGCTGAAAAGTGTCCTTTATTTAACATCCCCTGGCCTTACATCTGAATTGGGTTCAGAAGGTGAAGCACCTCAGGAAGATGAGGATAACTTAGAGCTGTTTGTATGAGCACAGTGCTCCCTTAGAGTTCCCACAGTGTGTTGGTAAAGTAGTGAACAACGTAATGAGCAGACCATGAACTGTTTTTTCCCGAGGCCCTCTGCAAAAAGTCCTGCTGGAACCAAAGCAAAGCAGCCAGCGAGAGCAGCGGGGCATGCAGATAACGGGGTTGATTGAGAGAAAAGGAAAATAGCAATTAGTAGTTCACAGCGGCAGAGAAGCTCCATCTGGTGGTGTTCTCACCCAGAAATGAGGGTGGGGATGGGGACCTGCAGGCTGTCTGTGCTCCCACCAGTCAGGGAAAGTCAAGCTCTGCTCGAGGCAGTGGAGCAGTGACACGATGGCAGATGAAGCTGCGTGGTTAAATGCAAAGAAGTGCACTTGCAAAGGGGACAAATGGACTACAGAGCATCTGCACGGCTGCAAAGCCTGGGCACAGTGCACTGCAGACACTCAGCACTTCAGGATTACAAGGAAAGCAACCAAGAGAGATAGATAAAGAGGAATATAGCAAATATTTTAATGTCCTTCCAGTGAGTGCAGTTTAGGGCACTCTGCCAGGGGCAGGGATATTGCAGACATGGGGATGGAGTGATGAGCATGGGAAGACCCTGATACAGAAAGAGGCTGAAAAGTTTCATTAAAACACAGGAACCTGAGGAACATCAGTGGTATAAAATTATGGCCAGTCCTGCAAGGCTGCCAGGTGTCCTCTGTGCTGGGGCAGAGCACTCCCAAGACACTGAGGACAAATCTGAAGACAAGGGTAAGAATCGATGCAGGGAGGTGATAGTGGAAGGTTTTACAAACAGGACAGACAGGCATCCGTTAGGAAATGCCTCTGTTGGGGGGACAGGAGGGCTGCCCTGGGCCCACCATTCGCTCCCTGGCTCCCATGAAGGCTTTTCAAGGTTGTGCTGCTGCTGTCTGTAAGGGTGCAGCCCCACAGGGATCCCCCTGCAGCAGGAGGAGTCCCAGCACAGCCCCACTGCTCATCGCAGGGCTCCTGCTGAGCTGCCCTGGGAGAGTGTGATGCTGGTACGGGGTGGGTTTGGCTCAGAGAAGGCCATCACAGTTTCAATCCTTAAAGAGTCGCCTGGAGTAAAAGGAACAGAGCTGAACCGGGCAGTCCGTGCTGGGATGTGCTGGGATGCTCTCCCTATTTTGCAAAAGTCAGAAAGATCTGAGATGGGCGAGAGGAGCCAGCTGCCCTCCCCCCTCTAAAGCTCATCTTCAAGCATCAGCCACGAACAGAACAAGGTCGGGCCACTCGCCAAAGAAGCCATGCATGCACAGGGCTGCGTGCCATGCCCAGCTCAGACGTGCCCTGGGTTCTCTGCACCTCCAGCCTGGCTCCTACAGTGGGAGCAGGGACACGGTGGTGCAACCCCAGTGCCTCCTACTGGCAGTGAGGGACACCCAATGGGCAGCGTGCAAGTGTGCTGGATAGAAGCAGCCAGCAGAACGGGAGGAAGCAGGCTGCTTGCACCCACTGCAAGCTGCCCCACAGCTTTTTAGTGTTTGGAAAACCATTGGTGCTCCCTAGGCCTGCTGGCACACAGCTCTGGGGCTCACAGTGGGGCTGGGGAGCAGGCAATGAGGCACAGCTGCACCCCAGGACCTGTGTCAGCCCTGGGGAGCTGCAATGTGGGTTGAGCATGGGCAGCCTGCTGGTGCCAGGTGTGTTCCCACTGTCAGGTAGCCAGCATGGTTCTTAAAGAAGGTAAGGGATGCTTGTTATAAAGAAAGAGAAGGCTCAAGTACTTGGGCTCAGGAGCAGGGGAAGACGAAAGCAAACCCCACACTTTCTAATGCTGGCTCGCCCCTCCAGTGACTTACAGACAACACAACTGAGGTTGGAATCCCTCTTCAAATACAGGCACAGTGGGGGATGGAGCCATCAGCCACGGGGAGCTTTGCACCCACCCCAGGAGCACATTAAGAACAGCACAGAGCAGACACAGCACACACGGATAGGTGCGCTCTCACGGCAATGCGTTGGTTCCTGCAGAGCAGCCTGATCTGCTGCCTCACTGCTGTGTACCACGAGGTCACAGCGCTGCCCTGCCCTTGGCAGCCCAGCAAGGCACAAAGCAGACAGCAGAGCCGACCCCTCTCCTCCCCTCTGCAGCTCCCAGTGGCATCTCCTGGGCAGCACAGGCCCCGTGTCCTGCAGTGGGAGGCTCAAGGGTCCACGCTGCTCTCTCTCTCAGAGGTCCCTTGAATGCCCCTCTCCTGTGAGATGTCACCGCGGAGCAGAGGTTTGAGAGAGAGCTCGGCGGGACCCCCGCCTCCACCCCACGGCGGTCAGGGCCTGAAGAAGCGTCGTACCACTAAATGCCCCACCATCACCAGGGCCAGCACCGCCAGCATGTACTTCATGTAAACATTGTCCAGATCGAGTGCAGCCACCTGATGGGAAACAGAGGGAGCAGAGCGCGTTAGAAGTGCCTGCGTCCCACTTGGACCACGCTCTGCTCTGCTCCCACCTCCTGCTGGATCCCACCGACCCCCTCCTGGCCCCGTCCCCCTGGGCGCAGTGCCCTCGGCTCACCCATCCTCCCTGCTGGGCGATCCACCGCGCGATGCGGTTGCGCAGCATGAAGTCGGTGACGTAGCGGGCGATGCGGCGCAGGAAACCCGTGATGCCGTGCTGGTAGACGTGGATGGCCATGCAGTAACCGAAGCCCAGCAGTGCGATCACCCGGCCCCAGTTAATGCCGCTCTCGAACAAGCTGCAATGAAGGCAGTGGTTGGGTTACAATCGCTCCTTGGGAGAGGATGCCCTGCTTGGCTCCATCCCTGTGCTGCCCAGGGCTCTCAATTAGCGTGGGCTGCAGGGCAGAGCTGGGAGTGCTATGCTGCTCGAGGAGCATCCCAACAGCACAAGGAAAGCGGTGGTTTTGTGGCTATTGCATGGCCACTGACCACCCCATGTGCCTTAGGAGCACAGCCACCACAGTCTGGGCCAGCACTGCTTGGCTCGGCCAGGTCTCTGAAACGCCCCTGGCTCTGGGGTTCTGCACACCCCGCACACACATCCTGCCCTTTCCCCCAGGGCTGCATCCCAGCACAGGGCAGAGCTGTGGACCTGCTTGGGATTGCATGAGCCAGGGCATTACACAGGGTGAGCTGCACCCAGTGCCAGTTTAAGCCATCAATCCGTAGGCTGCAGTGTGCTACACATGCAGCCAGGATCAGGATTGTAATCCATGTGCACACAGCATCCCTTCCTTGTGCAGCCAAACCCAAAGGCAAGAACGTTTATATAGATCTAGGGCAAAGGGGTGTATTAGAGCAGGACTTTCCCTTTTCTTGCACAGACAAATCCCTACAAGACCAACTGATCTTGCTTGCAGCGATGCTCCCAAGGGCTGAGGGTTCAAAATACACTCAGTGCCTATTGCTCCTGCTCCCAGTGTCAGCTGCTGTGCACAAACTGCATCACCATGTGCAGGTTTGGCACTGACTTGGGAGTTACTGGTTTCCAGCAAGGTTAGCAAGAAGGAAAAGAAAAGAAAAATAAAAGGGAAAAAAGAAGAAAAGTAATAGGAGGCTCCGGCCCTGTGTTGTAACCTGGTGCTGTCATGGCTGTCCCTGCAGGGCTGTGTCGCTCACAGAGGGAAAGGGAGTTCAGAGGCTGGGATGGAGCACGAGGACACAGGGAGCACCAAGGGACAGAGGTTAATTTACCTGTTTGCGGTGCTTTAACCGCCTCAGGGTGGCAAACAGCGCAGCATGGCTTCCCAGGGAGAGGGGAGCAGGAAAAGGACAGAAGAGAGGCAGTTAGACAACACACACTGAGCGGAGGGGCGCGGGGACGGGGCTGCACCAAACCCAGGGACCCCTCCAGGGGTCTTCTGCAGGACCCTGGGTGAGCCAGGTGGCCCTATGGGCAAAATACAGGGAGAGGAGCGAGGGCTGAGCCCCTCAAAGCACAACTGGAGCTTCCATGGGCCCCTTGACAGGGCCAGCATGACACCACTGGGGCAGAGCAAAGCAGCCCAGGACACAGACTGAGGCTGTGCCTCGTGCAATGTGGGCAAAACATCGTCTGGGTGTTGCCTCCAGTCTTCACACTGTTGCTGGGACATCCACTTGGCCACGCTTCCCAGCCCAAAGTTTCTGCCCCCAGACAGCTCGTTGCAAGGGCTGCCAAGGGGACGGTGAGTGAAGAAAGTGCAATAGGAACAAGAGCAGACAGGCAGAGAACACAGGAACCGTAACGGTGAGCTCAGTTAGAGCTCAGGGTGGGGATGTGGATGAGGCTGGAACAGATGGAGCCCACGGATTGCAGGGGGCAGCTGCTCCAGGCTGGCTTTAAGGTTTTAATGAGCTGCAGTGCATCAGTGCCACCCTCCCTCCCGGAGGCGTGCTGCCTGCTGCCTCACCTGGAGGCTATGGTGGTGAAGTACTCGTAGGCATTCTCCTTGGTGGGCTGCAATGACTTCAGCATATGGCGGAACTCCGCGTCGTACCGCTTGTTGATGTCGTCCCCAATGATGGCCAGGCGCCTGCCCACCTGGCTCCCGGTGCTGCCGGAGGGAAGATGGGCTGTCATGGGCACAGACTGCTGAGCAGCCGGGCTCAGGTCGGGGCTGGGGGTGCAGATTTTACCTGCCCAGCTCCTGCTGGATCTCCATGATCTCTGGGTCCATGGGCACCTCCTCCCCTCCCTCCTCTCTCTCCTGCTGGTAGCGGTAGAAGGTGTAGCTCCGGAACACCTCCTCGGTCTGCTGGGCCACCTGGTCCTCTGAGAGAGGCAAGGGGGAGAGAAGTCGAGGGGCAGCTCGGCTGCTGCCTTCCCCAGGTTGGAAAGAGGCCACGCAGGCTTTTCCAGCCTAAATCTGTGCTAAATCTCTCTCTTTGTGTGCACCCTTGGTGGCCCTCCCGTTCAGCCTGCGCTTCAGAAGCCCGAGGACAAGTGACAAGAGCACCCACGTGCATCAGTACTTCCAACTCAAACAGTTCTACGTTTTACAATCCTATGAGTCTATGAGACGTAGTGGTGCCCCCTCCCTAGAGACACCCAACTCAGGGCTGGACGGGGCTCTGAGCACCCAATCGAGCTGTGGGTGTCTCTGTTTGTTGTAGGGAGTGGGACCAGATGGCCTTTAATGGTCCCTCCCAACTCCAAACCATCACACGATTCAATTCTACTTCTACCCCTGGCAGTTGCAGGAAATGGTTTGGATTCATGGCTGTAAATGTTTGGACAGCAGAAGGTAAAACAAAAGCAATCTGACATATTCTCAGAAAGGTGATTTTGAAGCCACCCTTGAGGGTGTGTACCCACATTTTGAATGCTTTTTTTGGTGAGACAACAGGACTGTTATCACACAAAGCTGACCTTCAGTGCTGCACTTGGAGCTCTGTCCACACGCCAGCATCTCCCAGTGCAGAACAGCTCAGCACAATGCAGGAATCCCGGATCCAACCCCAACCAGGAGCCAGAGCTCCATGCAGCATCCCTCAGCAAACAGCACGGGGCTGCTTCTTTTTAAATGCCACCATTTAAAAGTACCCCTGCATGGCATCAGCAGTGACACGGTGACCAAAAGCTGAGCTGATGCTGGTGATGCCAGCATGCTGGGGGGCAGCACTCAATCCCCATAGTGGTGGGAAGGAGCTGGAAGTTCCAAGAGGTGTCTGAGACCAAAGGGATGTGGTGCTCACACAGCACACAGAAAGCTGTGTAGGTAAGTACCTGAAGTCATGGCATGGCTCTGATTGGAGCCATGTGCTCTGAATTGAGAAACAAAGCGTTCACAGCACTGTATCCCTGGCAGCCAGCAGCCCAGAGTTTGGAGGAATCAGCTCTCAAGTCTCACAGACACGTTTTTCTCAATTTCTTTCTCCACAGCAGATCAGCACCAGCACTGCTGCTCAGCAGCAAACCCAGTAGGAACCCTGCCCCAGCACCCCAGCACAGCCACCTGCCATACTGCACGCACAATTCTCTGTCTGCTTACACTTCCAGCACAGAGATGCTCCTTCCTGAGCCACATCCCAGCACTGGAGCACAGCATCCTGGCAGCACTGCTCCATCAAACCCTGCAGCCTGCCCACACCTGGTCATTGCAGTGTGACATTGCCCTGCCCCGTGTGCAGCTCCATGGGGATGGACCCAGCCTGGATGGGTGCAGGGATAGGAGAGGACTGCTGTGCAAAGCTCAGGTTGCACAAGTTTAGGCTGTGTAAATAAAGGTGAAGGGAAATGACGAGCACTGGTGGCTGTGTTTTCAGTGAGGGTTTGTTTGGCGATAAACGAATCCCACCTTATGGAGGAGTGCAGCACAGAGCAGAGAGCAGAAAATGAAACTGACTGAGTCACAGTTTCATGAGAGGCAGAGCAAACAGCCTGCAGGAGCAAAAGAGGAAATAAGCGTACCCAAAAATCCCTGCTCTAACTACCCCGGGCACTATTTTTAGTGGTACAAGGACACCTTGGATACATGACTGCAGCAAGAGGTGCGGCTGTTTGCACAATGATTGGTACCCCAACCTGAAAACATCAGCTGGTCCCCAGGGGAGAGGACAGCTCTTCATCTGTTGGTGCTGGAGATGGGCACTGCAGGTGGTTTAAGGTGCTCTATGGAATCTGAAAGCCCCAACCAAAGCAGCCAGGACCCTCCTTCCCCCGCTCCATTTGCAGGTGGTTTTGGAGATGAAGACACGGATTACTCACAGATGTGTGACTAACACCCCCTGAGCAACGACTTATCAGCTGCTGACTGACTTCACACGCAGTGCTAAGTCCACAGCAAAGATAAACAGTGCAGGACCGAGCCTTGCCGCCCTCCAGCTATGTATGTGAGCATCAGACATGGGCAATGACACAGCCCAGGTTGATGTCAGGAAGGGAACAGCCACCAGCTGAGCACTGCAGGCTGCGTTGGATGGATGGGCTTTCCAAGCACAGCCCTGCCAGCCCTGCAGAGATGTGCAGCACATCTCTCTCCATCCCACAGCGCTGAAAGCAGACACAGCAACACATCCACCTCTTCTAACAAAGCGCTGTGCCATTCTGGCTGAGGTGGTCCATACAGAGATAAATGAGACCACAAGGACTCATTCATCCTCCCTGCAGGGAGGCACAGGGCATTGCACGGCTGGGGTAGCCATGCCCATGGGCTGTCCCACTGGTCTGAGCCTCAGCCTTGGTACGCAAAGCATTCCCAGAGCTGTGCTGAACAGGGAAGCACTGCCAGCCCCGGCTCACAGCTGAGAAATGAAGCAGCTGAGAAATGCTCAGGTTAATGAGCATTTCTCGGAAGCAGGACCCCTGCTCAGCTCAGCACTGTTGCTGGATCCCCTTCTGCACAGTTCCCTTCCCTTGACCGGGCTGCCCATGAGATGAGTTCCTCCTCTCCATCACATCCTGCTGGGAACACAGAGACCCCGCCTTCACCTACAGCACCCACAGCCCCAAGAAGTGCAGATTGCCACCCAGCCTGGAAACAGCAGCACCTCGTCCTGCTGCCAGCAACACCCAGCACAGCAAGGGCTCAGGACAACACACACAGCACACAGACAAAACCCCGTGCATCCGCAGGCAAACAAAACAAGGCAAGCAGGCGAGCCCAAAGGCATCACTCCGGTGACAAAAGCCTTCTTGCACCCAAAGCCCACTGGTGGGAGCTACACGTTCCCAGTGCACAGCAGCCCAAGCACAGGATCCCACCGCAGGTCCTGGCAGCCCCGTCTCGGGCAGCGGGCTGTACAGGAAGCACAGCTCACAGCAGTGTGGTTAGAGTTCAGGGCCCGATCCTCTCACTGGTTTTAACAACAGCATCTCATTGGCCTCAAACAGGAAATCAGCATACGTAAACAGCTCTGCTCATTTATTTGTTTTTATGCCTCGTAGACTTTGGTAAGGGAAGGACGGCTTTTTGTCCTGCACTGTGCTCGTGTGGGATCCAGAGCTAACGATGGAGAGGGCCATGCCAGGGTACAGGCAGCCCCATCAGGCAATAAAGCAGCCCTGAGCCAGGTCTGAGCTCGGATACATAAACAGTGAGGGAGGGCTTCTAATCTCTGCTATTGACAGAGCTGTGGTGACTCACGCTTATTTACAGGTCCACCTGCAGAACAGGTTAAGAAGTCAACTAGAAGTGCTCTGTGCAGCAGCATTTTATACCAGGGGTCAAAAAAGGAGCTGAGGTTTGTGCCTGGTTCCTTTCAGCCCCGCTCCCAGTTTCACCCATTGGCGGGCAGCAGCACTGCAGTGCTTCCCAAGGCACAGCACACCTCCTGCACCCTGCAGCCAACACAGCACGACTGAAAGCAGCTGCTGGAGGCACTGCTCAGCACCGCACGTCTCCTGCGTGCTCGAACCCTCAGACACCTTTCCCTCACTTGTGTTCATAGAAGGGAAAGTAAACTGCAGCTGGCACCTGTGGCACAGCGAGCCCTGTGTGGCTGCACTGAGCTCCCAGCACAGCACAGCACAGCTCCCCATGCTGTTTGCTCCATGCTCTGTGCTCCCCACTGCACAAATCCATGACACCCGGCATCTCCTACCAGCATGTGAGCTCAGCGTTCCATTCCGCAGACCTTTATAAGCTGATTGATCACCCCAGCCATACAAAAAGCCCTGGAGGTGTGGAACGCTGCCTTTTGCAAAGAAGCACGTGCCAAGAAGAGTTCCAGTGTGCTCCCTCCCCTTGAATATCAATCACATCACCCTTTTTTACCTGAATCAGTCTCTCGTGACGGCCTGCGCCCATTGCTGCCCCGGCGTCCGTGGGCCCTGGGTGGGTCCCCCTCATTCCCTTCCATTGCAGAGATGCTGTGGGACTCAGCAGGACCTGCAGGGGTAGAGGCAGGACGTGAGGAGGGCACAGCAGCACCTGGAATCGCGCTGGGATGAAGGCACAGCCCAGCACAGAGGGCAGCAGCTCTGCAGGTCACCCAGAACTCAGCAGTGGAGCTCTGCCCCTCCACAGCAAACCGACCCACGGCTGCAGCTCTGCCTGCCTTCCCACAGCTCCTACAAAAAACGAGGTCTCTCCTTCCCTACATCCAGTGGCTCCAACTTCCCATTTCATTAAGCCTTCTGACTCCCCTCTGAATGAGAAAATCAAACTGAGTGCACGGCTCCAGCTGCCCCCAGACATCCCAGACCCGTACCTGTGCTGAGGGCTCTGCAAACCGCTCATCTGCTGCTCTGCTGCCCGCTGCTCGGCTGACGTCAGCCCTGCTTTCTGCAGGGAAGGAAGTGGGGCCACCTGCCTAAGTCAGGGCTGGATCCCTGCGGCTGCTCGCCTTTTGTTCAGCATGCCAGTACATGTTCTGAGGCCAGAGCTCAGGCAGGGCTGAGCTGGTGGGTTTCCTGCTTTGCACCAGCTTGAAATTCACAGAGACCCATTTGCACCCAGTTTAAAGCAAGCCCTGGCAAAATTTAAGTGCTGGTTACAGGAAAACAACCACCTATGGCAAGGTCAGAGGTGCAACACCCAGTCCAAGCTCACAGATAAAGATTATGCAGAAGGAAAAAAAAAAAAGCCAACACAAATTGAGATCATAAACCAGAGTGTGAAGTGCATCCAGGGTGGGGATGGGAGCCTGGAAATGCAAACCAGCTCAGCAAGCTCTCACATATTGCTGCATTCAGGGACTCTGAGCCCCGCTGGCACACAGATGGAGGGGCTGTTTTTTCCTACACGCCTACAGGGACAGGATTTCCCTTTTCCTCCCCAACCTCAAACATCCCCATCCAGGGAAAAGCTGAGAGTATGCTGAGGATCAGCAGTGGGGTCCATGGGGTGGGAGCAGAGCTGGGTCCTGGGGCCGCTCCTCTCCCTGCTCCCTGCTCAGGGAAGGGCTGTGTAGGGCAGCTCCAGGAGATGCAATGCCCAGCAAGGCTAAAATCACAGCTCACCTTTCATCTGAAGGCTCCAAGGAACAGCCTGGCAGCAGTTCTGTTAGCTCGTGGATAACCAAAATGGGATGAATTCCTTCTGTGCCTCACACTGCCAGCGCAGTGCCGGCTGTGGACACATCCAGCAAAGAGACCAACTGCTCCAGCACACCTACAGCACAGCCTATTGATGCAGCTGGTTGTGTTTCACCTCAGACCACTGCCCCCAGCCCAGAGCTCAGCAGCAACGTGGGGAATTCCCCAGCATGGAATTTCTGGGGTGACTCTGACAGCTCAACCTGCAGGAGGTCTGGTGAGCACTGGCATGCAGTGCCTGCGAGCAGCTGACTCATGTGATTCCTCACTTGCTGTCTGCCAAACCCTTAGGAAGCAAATGTGGCAAGCTGCAACTAGGCCATCACTTAAGTGGAACTTTCATTTTCAGTTTCCTTCTCAAGATAGGTCCTTGCAGCACTTTCCTCTCTTGCACTGTGGGGCACTGTGGCCCTTTTGCACGTATCCGTGCGTCCTCACGCACTGTGCACAGTGCAACCCATCCCCAAAACTCATCCCCGACACTCCTGCAAAGCACAGGAATGCCCATGGCAGTTCACTGTGTGTCTGCTGGGGGCACAGCTCAGCCCCTCCGGTACCAAAGGCACTGCAGCCTTTATGTCACCTGCATCCTGGCCCAGCATCCCTTTGGTTTGCCCCATTCCCTTTTTTGTTACGGGAATGCCATTCCAGAAGGGGTGTACAGGAGGATATGACACTCACATACTCAAAGACAGCCCAAGGCTGCCCAAAATGAAGGCTGTGCAGGGCTGGGAGCTGCAGGTCACTACCAGCAGTGTATAACTCAGCAGCTGCTCAAAGACTCATCTCCACCCCAGCTTTTTGCACTTGCAGTGTTAAAAGGGTTAAAAGACGCAGCTAGCACCTAGGCTGTGGATTTAGCAACCCTTCTGCCACGGCACGGGGATCTTATCTTTATTAACAAGCACATAGCAGGCAAAGAATCAGCCTTCCTGCAGGCTTCCCTCATAAAAAAGACCTTTGCCTCAACTGTTTCTCATTTTACTCTCGTCCCCTTTGCTTAAAGGTCTCTGACACACATCCTGCGTGCCCCCATGACATACTCATCACTCAACTTCTCCCAGCTTTTCTCCAAAGGAGAATTCCTGGACGCCAGGAAGATGCTGGGAACAGCCTGGGGCTGGAGGGGGGAAGGATAACAGGCTGGGCCCTGTGAACAGGCCTGGTTATGGGGCACAGCACTCCCCCCCCCCCCCCCCCCCCCCCCCCCCCCGGCTTGATCCTGTTCTGGGAAATGAATGGAGCATCCTCTGGGATGAGCATTTCACAGGCCTGGTCCCCAGCCCGTGCACGGAGCCACACAGGATGCAAAGCGTGCACACACGGGACTCCTGTGCCCCACCAACGGCCCTGCACGGTCAGAGCTGGTCCTGCTCCTCCCAGCCTGACCCAGGCGAGCGAAACAGAAGAGTTTGTCCCGATTTGTGGCCCCCCCACCCCCGGCTCAGAGTTCGGCCCTCGAGCCCCCACCGCCCCCCCCACGTCCCGGCACTGCAGGCAGGAAGCGCGCAGCCCCACGTGCGATGTCCGCGCTGAAGTCACGACCGGAGCGGGGACAGACGTGGGGACGGACAGACGGACATCGCCACGGTGCTCATCCCGGCTCTGCCCTTCTCCCCACCGGGCCGCCCGGTCCCAACCGCGCAGTGCGGAGATGCCGTGGGGGATGGGGAGGGGGCTGTCACCTCCGCGGCCTCACGAGGGAAGGGGAAAAAACAACAACGATCCCCCCAGACCAGGAGGAAATATCACGGAAAGAGGCAATATTTGCTCTTCGGGACAAAACTCGGCGCGGAGCGATACCCCCAGCCCCGGCCCGGCTCTCGCTGCGGCGCTCTGTGCGCTGTAACCCCCGCGGCTCTGCTCACCCCCCACCCCGATCCCGCTGCACCCCCGGACCCCCTCCGCACCTCCCCCTCCTCTGGCTCACGGAGCGATCGGCACCGCCCGGCCCGGCCCTGCGGCGTGGAAAAGCGCATCACCTCGGGGTGGGGGCACCGGGGGGTTCCCCGCTACTCACCGTGTCCCGGCGGGGACCAGGCGGGCCGGGGGGGGGGATCCCGGAGAGCTACTGCATCCCCCCGGGGAGCTGCTCCATCCCCGCCGCCTCCCTTCCTGCCTCTTCCCGGCGCGGCGCGGGGAAAGGAAGCGAGCAGGGCCGGGGAGGAGGAGGGAAAAGGAGAGAGAAAAAAAAAAAAAATAGAAACCCAACCCCAGACCATAGATGTAGAACGGAGCCGGGCGGGGCTCAGCTCCCTCTAGAGGCGCCACGACCCGAGCGTGGGAAAGGGGCTGAGGGGCTGCGCGTCGCGGCTCGAGAGCGTGGGATGCTCGGGGGGTGTCCGAGGGATCGAGGTCCCCCGGGCCGCGCGACACAGGGGACACTCTGCTCTGCAGAGCCTGCATGGGCGAAAGGAGAGCAACGCACCTCTGCACCCCAATTCTGCGTGTCCCTGAGAGCCGCCCTGCCTCTTTATGGGGCGTCCTGAGCTGCTTCGGTCTGGGAAGGCTGCAGCTTTTGAGCGCGGTTGGTTTCCTCTCTGCCAGGCATCCCCGGGAGGGCAAAGTGCCCTCGTGGAGTCACTGGACCATTTCCAGTGGGGAACATCCCCATGGAGCCGCCAGGTAAAGAAGGGTTGGCGGCGGTGGTGATTCACAGAGTGATTGAGGAGATCTGAAATCCACCTAGATTGGGGAAAAACCCGGGCGGCCGGAGGAGGAGAGGGTGTGATTCATGCTGGAGGACGAGATAGCTCAGCAGGGCTGGCGTTGGCTCGGCACCAAGCTGCCCCAGCTGCCCTCCTCCCTGATGCTGCCGGAGCCTTTGCTGGCAAATGCCAGAGAAGAAGTTTGGGGCCTCTATGAACGCTTGACTGCTTGTGATCAATTCAGCTGTCTGCCCCATGCCCTGGGACGGCGTGTCCTGTGGGATGCTCGGGAAGCTGAGCTGGAAGATTGGTTGAATCCCGGATGTGTCTGGCCAGGCTTTGCTGGCAGAACGACAGCAGAGGGCTCAGCCCTGGCTCCAGGGGTGTCCTGGACAACAGAGGAGGGCTGTGAAGGGCAAAACAGTGGATGCTTGCAGTGATGAAGGGGTAGGGGACAGGACAGCTCCTTTGTGTCCACAGCAAAGAGAGGGCTGAGCTCAGGCTGTGGGATGCAGGAACTGCCACATGTCTGCCAATGGCTGCTGGAGAGTGTTCAAAAGAAGGCCCATAATGGGAAGAAGAGGGGAACTGGGTGGAAAGCTCCAGCCCTTGGATAGCAATGGCAAATGTGACTTAGAGAAATGGTGGTGGTAAGCATTTGGGAGACCCTACACATGGCTGTGCTGCTGCAGGGACATCCTGGTTTGTATTGCTGTGTTTTTAAGATCTTGAGGCAATGAGGATGAAATTCCAATGCAGCTTTGCAGTTGTGGATATGGATATGAAACATTCCCAGCCTCTCCCAGCAGCCCCTGTTGTTGGTGTGGGTGCAGAGCTGTAGAACAGCAGCCCCAGAAGGGAGCCCCTGGTGTCAGGATTCACTGGCATTTTAGGAAGTGGTTTCACCACTTGTTTGATGTAGTCTAACCCCGTGCTGATGCTGGTAAGGGGCTGAGCCAGCTGTGCACTCCCAGCCTCCTCCTACAAGAGCAAAGAGCTGCTTCCATGGCACAAAGATGCTTTTTTTGTAGCAAGGAAGGGTGCAGCCTGTGCTTTGGGAACAGTGTCCTGTGCTGCCTGCCCAGGCAATGAGAGGGAAGGAAGCAGGAGGATGCAGCTGGGGGGTGAGAACAGGCAGCAGCGCTTTCAACATGTCACAATGACATGGCAGTTTTAGATGAGTTTTTTGGGGGAGAAAAAGCCATTCTTGCAGCCAGCAGCTTATGGGCTATAGCCAAGCAGACACTGACTGAGCCAGCCAGGAGAAGCTCCAAGTGCAGAAGCAAAAATGAGCTGCTACCAGTTTGTCTCCAAGTGATGCACCATATCCACGAGAGCAGCTCTGTGCCAGCAGCACTGCAGCAGCAGCACGGCTCTGCTGGGCACAGGGACATGGTAGGGATGCCATGCCCTGCCTCGGATGGCAGCTCCAGGAAAACACCCATCAGAACCACATCCTGCTGCCCCACAGGCGGGCTGGACAAGGTGAGATGGGCAGTTGGGTTTGCTGCAATTTGCTGCCATCATTGTCATGGATGTGTGGCACTGCGATGGCAAACACAGCTGCTGCTTTCAAAGCCTTTCACCCTGCTGCTGCCTGCAGGAGTGTTGCAGCTTTTTGGTGTTGGCCATGGAGCCGGAGGGTGTGTGAGCCTTTCGTGAGCCTTCCTCCCAGCTCCATGAGCAGTGCAAGCATTCGGCGTTAGGCCAAACCACAGCAGAGCTGAGGATGCTGCAGAGATGAGTGGCTGTGGGTTGAGGGGAGCCCTCCCTTTCAGGCCTCCTCCTCACTCTTAGTGTGCAGGTTTCACCCCACTGGGTGGAAGAGCCCTGGCCCTGCTCAGCTCTGTGCTCTGAGCCGTTGGGGACCGTTGAGTTTGAACCTATTTTGAGCCGTTGGGCCACTGGCTGCCCTGCAGCCCCACTCACAGCACCAATGGATGCCCCTCGGGCTGCCCGGCCCTCCAACCATCCCTCCCTGCTCCAGTTTTTCAGAAGCCTCCTTGGGTACCCGCGGAGCTCGCTGGGGGCACAGGAGCCCAGAGCAGAGCAGCAGGAGCAGGGTGCTGCTGTAGGGCCCCGCAGCTGGCAGGCGGAGCGGGTTGAAAGCACCCATGGGGGGATCCAGGAGCACTGCGAGGATGAGGAGGGGGACAGCATGGAGCTGCTGCTGGGGGAGCTGCGGGAGGTCAGCCTGCAGGGATCGCTGGGCAGCAGCACCAGCAGGAGCTGCCTGACCACCAGCACCAGTGATGTGGAAGTGGCAGTGGAGGGCGATGGGATGGAGGCTACTGGTGGCACCGTGGCCCTGCAGAGCGATGGGGCGGCCGGCGAGGAGAGAGGGGCTGCAGATGAAGCCGTCGTTGGCCGAGCTCTGGTGATGTAAGAGTGGGGGAATGGCATGTGGTTACACTCATTTCAGTGGTACTCTGCAGAGGGCTGCCTGTTTGGGTACTATGAACAGCCAGCAGCACATTTCACCTGGCAGCATTGAAATGAGTCCAGCATTCCCAGTAAACCTGTGCAGCATTTTGGCTGACCCCAGCAGGCAGGTGTTCCCTGGAGCTCCCCAGGTTGCTCCATGCAGACTGTGGCATTGAGCAGCAACCTGTGCAGCACCAAGGAACCTGTGCTGCAGCCCTTTGCAGTCCTTGGCCTCTCCAGGCTGCTGACAAGGAACGCAGTCGGATTCCGGGTCACAGACATCAGTGTTGCTCCTGTCTTCCTTTAATTGTCCCTAATTGCTTTGCCTCCAGGGATGAGTTCCTTCAAGGTTTGGGTGCTGCTGATGAAGACATCTGCTCTGCAAGCCCTGAGCCGATGTTTTCAATGGATCTTGACACTGAATGGGAGAAAGGGCATCTCCTGAAAGGTGAGAGGCTCAGAGAAAGAGAAGACTGCCTTCTCCCTCACCCTTGGCTGCTGGGATTGCCCAGGCAATGGTACCTTTCTCCTGCCTGTGTGCTGCTTCCAGGGGTCTGAGCCTTGGGGCGGCTGGCTGAATGCTGGCAATGAGGCTGTGTGTCAGAGAACATCAGCCAGGGGAGTCAGCTCACTGGGGTGGTACCCAAAGGCCATGGCAGAGAGAATAGGGCATCCTTCACATCCAGCAATAGGAGGGATGGGGCACTGCAGACTGTTTCCCACCAGTCCCAAAGCCAGGTGTGCCTGGCTGCTCTCACATCACCAGAGGACCTGGCCCTGTGTCCTCTGTCAGACGTTTGCTTGCTGTGCCACAGACAGCACAAAGGAAGGGAGGTGGCAGCCCTGGGGAGTCACTGCTTTCTTTGGATTTGTTTCAAACAGCAAAGCAGGGTGCAGGATCCCCAAAAGCAGAGCTGTCCCTGTGGAACAGGTTCATCAGTGTGAACAGACACCAGTGGACTTTGCGTAAGGTTGGTGAGAAGACAGTGTGGGGCTAAGGGAAGGACTGCTGTGCAATGCCCTCAGGTCTGAGAAAAGGTGTAGGGATGGATCGGTGTAGGGGATGCTAACGATGATCACTGGCATTGCCAAGGCATTGATCCATCAGAGGTGGGGGCTTTCAGGGTTGTTTCTGAGGTTCTCTACTCTTATATCCTTCCTGGCTGAGCAAGCAATGATCTCAGGGCTGTGATGGGCAACACATGGAGGGGTGTTGGGTATTTGCTGAGAAGAGATGGATGGGTGGGAAGTAAGGACAGTGGCAAAAGCCCGCCTTTGGGATTCCCTTCTTGGTCTTACAGACCCTACTGTGACCATGGCTTTTTAACTGGGGCCAGTGGTCAGCCAGCAGCTCTGGAGAAAGCTGCATGTGCAAAATTAGCTTGATGTCTGCCAATCCCATTGCAATAGCTCCTGGGCTTCCCTGACAGATCGAGCCAAAGTAAAGCAAGAGATGACCCCACAGAGCAGATCCTCGTGTGAAATGGGGTCTGAGCAGGGATGCTAATGATTACCCCTAAAATCTGCACAAGAACAGGAGCAAGCCCAGAGGAGGCCATAGCAGGAGGAGGATGGGTGTCTGCAATTCAGACAAAACCTGGGCAAGTTTGCAGCAGAGCAATGAAGCTGCAGCAGAGCAGAGCCTCCAGCTGCTCTGCCAGGGCTCTGCGAGATGCTGAGAAAGCAGCAGGACCTGGTAGAGCTGCAGGAAGGAGCCGGGGAGGTGGGAGGGTTCGTGGTTTAATGCAGCTGGAGGATGGGTGTGGGGTGTGAGCAGCACACCGTGTGGATATCAGGCCCCCTCTCTGCTAGCGGGTGCAGTGCACTAAATCAGCTCCTGGAGAAACGGTCGATATTTTGTTCCAGACAGCAGAGATGGACTCTGGGACAGTGTTTTAACAGCAGTTTTGAGGAGCTGCCTCAGCCTGTTAGTA